CGCGTTAAGCAAATGCGCTTCTTCTGGTAGCGTCTGAGGCTGGCTAGATTCCTTTGCCTCGATTTTTATCGCCACTTGTTCCCTGCTTTCGACGTTCTTTCCTAAAAATATTACTCCAAAAGATCCCTCGCCAATCTTTCCTAGGAGACGATAGTTCTTCGCAATGATAGCTCCTCCCTGAATAGAAGGTTTGGATGGGCCTGCCATTCTTTTCTTAGTTGTTTGACGGCGGCTTGTCTCTGCTCAATAATTTCGTCATAATTGTATCACCAGCACAGCGCGCGCACGTGAATTAGGAAGCATACTCCAACAGAACTCTGGCCAATTTACACATGTTGTGCATTTTTATCGGATGAGTGTACTCATCAAGAGGTCATATTAAGTTCTTTGGGTTTTCTCCGTCTATAATTAAGCTGCGACGTCACAGAAATTATTTCATTATTAGTCAAAAACAATATAAAACAATTTGAGTTCATTATTCCAGTTAATGCCATCCAATGAGAATAAATCGTCAGGCGAGTTCTTGTGACATGTACAAAGTAAATTGTTTCTAACGATCGCAAATCGCGCAGGCGAAGAGCAAATTTGTCACCAGTGGCAATAGCCTTTCTTCCAATTTTATGGCGTCTTCTTTCCGACGTAAGGCGTCAACAAGCGAGGAAGTTCTGCCTTTCGGTGAGGAAGCTGAAGAAAACAATTGCTACATCACGAGTCTGAGTAATGAAATCCTTCTATACGTTTCGACATACATGGACGCTAGATCAGTTATACGACTCAGTAAAACTTGTCGACGACTTCGTGATGGTGTCAGATTTAGCGACCCTTTATGGAAGGAACGCCTTCGACGAGACTTCGAACTGAATCTTCGAATAAAACGTCCTTTTAAGTCATTCTACGATATCTACCGGCTGGTTTCAATGTCTCGCACTTTGACTAAGATTTATCTATCTGAGAGATTTTACTCGTCGGGAAAATACGGGTATCTACCCGGGTGGCTATGGACATGGATCACTTTGAATACCAGTGCGCCGGAGCTTCCATCGTGGATCAGGAACCACAGAGAGAAGTTTCTACGGATCAAAGTGAGCGAGTTACCTCTTGGGCGAATCCAGAGGGCTTGGAATTTAGCCGCAGGAGATTTCTCTGGTGTGCGCGAGGTACGAAATGAGAGAGGTACAATCTATTACAGTTGGTCGGACGTTCATAAAGTTTTTTTCGCTAAATACGGTGGGCTTCCTGAATTGACTGCACACTCGCTCAAACGATGCTCACGCGCAAAGAGACATCTCGAGCGAAGCTTTACCGAACTGACAACAGCGGAAGGCCCTAGTCAAAATCAGGCAGCTCAAGCACTTATAACCTTCTCTCTACCAAACAACTTATTCACTACGACGTGTGGATTGTCGCACCTTTTTCGGTCAATCTGAGGAAATTCGTAGATAGCTGTAAGAGCTGTTTGCGTATTTTCGAGATCTTCAAAGCATGATATGGAAGGAGAAACATGTGAGGTAACGTAATTCAAAGACAAGGTTGGCTTCTAGCTCCTGGAATCTGACCTCTGTGTCTATGAATGGAAGCAAAAAGTAAATTAAAGGAACTTTAGAGGAATTTGTTAATTCAATTGTGACATTTTCTCTCTGAACGTCAACTTGATAATGCAATGGGTTTTTAATGAGAGTGTAACGCTTATCAAGAATTGGTCGATAATTTATCTTGTAAGAGGTGTTAAATAGAGCAGAATTTTATGGGGAAAAAATAAAGCAACCAAACAAACAAATGAAAAAAGAGGAAGAGGTTTTTCGCCATGTCTTTCATGACACGTAAACTTTTATTGAACAAACGTATCTGAGTAGCAAAAAATGACAGTAAGGTATTGGATATTAAAACGTGTCATAAGAGAATACTGAGTTGCTTTTAGATTATTCTTCGCATATAACTTGTGTTTTAACCGCCCTCCATCTCGATTCCAGGGGTCATAGTATAACCGTGAAGAAAGAAAGCTGCTCAAACGTCGAGGTCTTGGTTTGTGCTCGTCACGCAAAACTCCGTTGCGTGACCAGTATTTAGCGCGACGTGCCCAGACCCCGGCTTCATGCGGGAACCCCTCCGAGAGTGGGAGGACTTTTAAGAGTGAATTTCTTCCTGTTAAAAGAAGAAAAAAAAACCGAATTCTACAAATCCTGGTGGGGACAACTGAACTTATAGCTTAAGAAAATAGTAGGTTCTTATTCTCCGTACGCGTATAATGTGTAGGGCGAACTTTGGTACCTTCTCAAAATTGTCTACGGCTGGTAAAGAGAAGAAACTTATTCATGATCAGCGGCGTTTATTATCAAAAAAATTAAAATTTATCATCTTATTGTTTCAATTACTGTAATTTAGGGCTTTTAAGCGTATCTTAATAAGGTTTTACGACGTTTCCAAGCCTTAGCGCAAAAAGATACATAGCAATTGCTTACAAATTTAATTTTTCACCCCACGGGTTGTCTACCACAGTCACACAATGAACCGCAAGGACTTAAGCTGCACAGTGTTTTTCAACATGACAAGTACAAAGTCATGTCCCGGTTTCTACGCATAACATTCTGTGCATTGATTTTCAATAAACTGGATTTTCATGGCGATGTCAACGGTGTATCTTTGCGCCATTTCTGTATTGACTTCATATATGACGAGGTCTTTCTGCAATGATCTTCACTCAGGTAAGCCCGCCATTGCTACACAACCAGCAATGGAAACCAAGTCAATTTGGCCGCCATTGCCTTGGTGGAACAAATATCCAGTCGGGGATCCAAAATTCTGCTTCTTTTTCCACGACGTAAACACTCTCGAGGTTCTTCCTGGCTTCGGTTGGGATAACTTGCTAAATATCGAGATGGGGCAAGTGCTGGCCACAAATTATTCCCGGTGTAAAACAACCGCGGACAGAAAATATCTTTTACCCGATAACGCTTTCGTAATTCCTGTCAAACGCAGTAAAGTGGACATGTCCTCAGAGGTGTTTGACCGCTGGAATAGCTACACGAGCACGACTGCTCATTCCGTCAATCTCCACGCATCTTACTCAGTTGTAAGCGGTTCCTTTGCTGAGGACTTTAAATACAACAAAGAAAAGCAAGTTGGCGACAAGGCTGTCACAACGAGAGTTCAACTCCGTCATTTCATGTACGTGGTAAAAACGCATCCCGAGTCAAGTCTGCATCCTGTCTTTAAAAGCAGGTTGATGCAAATCGCAGCTGAGTTGCAGAACAATCGCACGAAACAAGCGTGGTACAGTGCGCAGTTACTGGTCAGGGAATACGGCACTCACATCATAACCTCTGTTGATGCTGGTGCAGCGCTCGTTCAAGAAACTCATATCAAAGAAAATGTTCTCAAGGACAAATCGCTTTCTGCACACGATTTAAAAGTAGCCGCAACAGCAACCTTTTTTCGGTCTCTTAAGTTTGGCGCTGGTTTCGGACACAATGTAAGCAACGAGAACGTTCACAAGTTTGAGAAGAGTCGGACCGCTTCACGCGTATTAACCTATGGCGGTCCACCGTACCGATCGAAGTTTAGTGTCCAAAACTGGGAGGACAGTCTAACGAACGAGCTAGTTGCTATTGACAGAAGCGGCGACCCCCTTTACTACGTTATCAACAGCGCCACTCTGCCTAGCTTACCAGAACCAACAGTGTTCCGCTTGGCTAAGATTGTTCAGCGAGCTGCTCGCCTATATTACAAAGTAAATACTGTTGCAGGATGTACTGACGAGACGTCGCCCAGATTCAACTTCGATGCGAACGTCAATGACGGCAGTTGTCACGCAACACAAACAAATTTTACATTTGGGGGAGTGTATCAAAAATGTTACGCAAGTCGCTTCAACTCAGCGGGAAACTTATGCGATGAGTTACAGCATAAAAACCCCCTTACGGGCGATTTTTCCTGCCCCGAGGGATACGAAGCCGTGGAACTTTTAAAACCACAGTCAGGCGAAAGGCCGGTAGTAACAAAATCGTATCACCAGACACACTGCCGCAAACTTTGTCGTCCATGCGGATTTTTTTTGTTACAAGATTGCTGCCATACTTCATGCCAAAACATTTTTCATTACAGTATGGTATATATTGCACCCTATTGGTGTGCTGCTGCGATGACTGTGGGCGAAAACAGTGGGATGTTATTTGGAGGCGTTTACACATCACATGATCCAAACCCTGTGACTGGTGCACAAAGTTGCCCGCATAGGTTCTACGCGTTGCCGTTTGGAAGCCATTCTCACGTTTGCGTGAGTGATGATTATGAACTCGGGTACCAGTTCTCGCTGCGTTTCGGCGGATTTTTCAGTTGTTCGTCTGGAAATCCTCTCGCTGTTCCCAACAAGAACCATCAGCAAAAAAGCGGAAAAACCACACCCAAGACATCTCCTAAGGGAAACTTAGCAGGTATAGTAAATGCCCCACAAAGTTGCCCACGCGGGTACACCCAGCATCTCCTGTCAGTTGACAATGAATGTGAGATAAACTATTGCGTTAAGGCGAACTCTTTAGCGAAACTCTCTCGCACAGCTGTGAGAAGACCTCCCTACAATGCTCGCCCGGGAGTAAGCCCAAAGGCAACAAAAACGCTAATGGTTGTTGGAATAAATGGTGAAGTTTGGTACAGGAACAATTCGAATGCTGATTGGACTCTTGCCTCGTTTGCCACTCAAGACGACGATGACTCTTCGGAAGAAATGGTATCAGAAGACCAAACCAAGCCCATGTCGCAAGGCGCTGCAATTGCACTTAGCGTGTGCGCAACAGTTTTAGCGGGAATTTTAGCCGTAGCTGTGTACGTCAGTTACAAGCGTCGCGAAAAGACGAAAGAGTACAGGGCGGTTTCTTTGAAGGAAGTGCTCCTGCCTGATGAAAAAACACCGCTGAACAATAACAATACATCTTAATACGCACATGTAGTATTACTTTTGAACTTTTATTGATTGACAAAGGCGACTAAATTTGAGAATTGAAAAAACATCGCGATGAAATTGTTTTTAATGTGTTTCTTTTTTCCATTTGCTTGTTAATTAATTTAGTACATAAAGCAAACTTAGAATAATTTTGCTTAAGAACTGCCTCTGTGACAATTTCAAACAAAAGAGGCTAAAAAATTGAGGGATTTTTTTTAAATTAATCTAAAAAAGTATTGCCTCCTTTGTACATTGACTATAAATAAACTAAAGACAAAAACAATCAAGGTGTTCATCCATTATAGGGTCTGTGGAGACAATTGCGTTTTATGTACTTCCGTATGAAAGGCAAGAGATGTAATAAATAACACAGTGCTTAAACAACGGGCATGCGCGACGTGTGTGTCGAGGTATTTTATAACATTTTAAGCTTCTCAAAATTATCACATACTGTGCAGTGACGAAGTACTTAGTGCCACTGCTTGGGAAACTCCCCAGATTTTTCCCTCCTTTTCAAGACTTCGTGAATAATTTTTACGATCTTCAAATACACCATTCTCTCTCAAGAACTCAAAACTCTGTACAATACTCTGTAGGTAACTGTTAGATAATTTCAGTGCATTGTATCCGGCTACCAAAGTTTACAATTGGACTGAAACGAACTCTACCTGTAGCTCTTAAAGTCTCTACACTTAAAAGGAATTGCTGACCACTGGTCAACTGTTGTCATCAAATATTGAAGCATTGGATCATGATAATCTGTTTCCAGTTACTCTTTATCTCCAACAAGATTTTGAGGCCCACTACGGCAAGGCACTTCTTGTTACATCTTAATTGGAGGTGGATGACATTCATCACTCGAGACTAGTCTCGATCAATGAGTGTACCTCTTGGTTTCTTAGATTGATCCTCTTTAATCTGCAATATAAAAAGAAACAAACAAAATCAATTAAATGAAAGAGCTTTTGATCTCTAATTCGTTCATCTGTCTTTGCCTTTTTATCTGTCTACCCTCCCCTTCTACCAAATCCCTTCCAAGCTTTAGAAGTGACTTGCACAATACCTATTCAAAGGCAAACATGCATTACTGAATACAAAAAAAAGACACATTTGCAGATTGAAATTATAAAATGAAAAGTTATTACATGGAAGGTAAAATTATAACACTCTTACCTGGTCTATAGCTGCCCTTTTCTGTGCGGTTGTTTTTCGCTCAAGTTGCTTTTCAATTATCTGGGCATTGTGAGCATATGATGATGCAACTTCATGCTAAAACGAAAAAAAAACACAAAAACAAAAACAAGGCGAAACATTGTGGTCAGCATGTTAAACCACTGAAATACCAAAAAACAATACAGTATATTATTGAACCGTGCAAAAATTTTATCCAGAATCCATCTTACTATCCCAACAGTCTCATCAGAGTTCCAGGGCAATGGGATAATTTTTCATTGATTTCTGCTGACTTCACTAGAAAGAGGTCAGAGCTTCTCATAAGATACTAATTTATTGATGACCTTGTATTGTATTGCCAAAAGTAAGTAACCTGTAACAGTACAAGCAGTGCCAAACTCAAATACCAGCTGTTTCACAACTTTAAAAGATATCTTTCAAGTAAATTTGTTGTTTGAAAAGCAAAAGGTTCACATACACCCCCAGATTACCTCTATAGATTATCTGGGAACACTCAAAGCTCACTAACCTGCTCAATTTCTTCTTCTTCCTCATCAATAGTAGACACAGTCACAGAGCTAAATTTACCAAATTCCTTTGTTCTCTTTGTGACCATGACCTTATCAAGATACAGATAAAGCAAAAAAAATTAATGGTAGACAAAATCAGCAAACAAACAAACCCATGGTTGCCACAGTGATAATTAGGTTTTTGCTATTCCCTGACTTTTCCCTGAATTTTTTCCCTAAAACTTAAAATTTTATAATTTCATAGATGAGTCCTGATAGAGGCCTCCAAACTCCACTCTGAGCCAAAGCCATCCTCTCCGCTCATAAATGAATGCTTTAAGCAAGTTGTACACAATATAGATTGAATTGATAGTCCCTTAAATTAACATGGAGGAAATATTTATTCCAATATGCCTTACATGCATGCATTTTTATGCTTAAATACCCCAGTTCACCCCCTAGCCTTGCTTTCAAGACCTTCTAGGGCCTCTCCAGCTTTAACCCTTTAACTCCCAAAAGTGATTAATCAGTAACTTCTCCCTACAATAACCATACATTATCCAGCAGACTAGAAATTAGAATACTCAAAATTATCAGGTACATTATCTTGATCTAACACCAAATTCTCTCAGCTTATTTACAAGGAAATGTGGAGCAGCTAGAGGGGAGAATTCACAATCAGATCTTGGGAGTTAAAGGGTAAATAAGCTGATTTAACCTCTAATCAGCAAGAAAACTGTGGATAAATGTACATTACCATCAAAATTGCAATATTCTGGAAAAGGGCATATCAGTTTCTTCACTGATACCCTTCCCTTCAACAACTTTGCCTCTGCACAATGCTGTTCTTTAATTGTTGTGATTGTAAAACATTGAATGAAGGAAGGAGTGTACTGTAACCAAATTCACTTTAATTCAAATGTCATTTCTAAACACCTCCTTTAAAGTGCTTCTTGGATGTGTGCCAACTACTTTTGTAGCCAAATGTTTGTATCATGTAATACAGATACATAATTCCTTTCATGATATACCTTATTTGCCTTGGGTTTAACAGTTTTGGTAACTTGGTTATCTCCACTTTGAATCAATGCTCCTGAAAAAATTCAAACACACAAAAAAAAAAAAAAAAATGAGTGAAAAAAAAAAAAAAAAAAAAAAGGAACACATCACAGGACTTGCCCAATATTTTCCATACACCACTGTCAGATAAAGAAGTTTGCTGGAAAATTATTTTACAACAATCATTCAGTCATGGCATTTCCTGTTTTATGAGTCTCAGTTCTAATTTTCCTATGTTATACAAACCAGGCTCAAACTACAGGTTTTTCCAATAACAAAAAAACAACCAATATACATGTAGGTATACTGTGCATGTACAATAATATTAAAAAATCAAGTTTATCACTCACTTTAAGTCCATAATCATTTTTTAAAAACTTAAAATTCAGTCATGTACATGATAAGCTACTGACATCTTTTTAAGAAATTGCATAAAATTCCTCACCATCTACTACAAAAGTAACAGTTTGGTCCTTTTTCAATGATCTGTAAAACAGCCATAGCTTGCACCTGTTGTAAACATTTACAGACGTCAGTAAGGGACAAATAGTAACAGCATGATATAGAAATTATATATGCACAAAGTCTATGTATGCAAAGTATACAGGCTAGACAATTCTAAATTTCAAACTCAATTTCAGTCTAATACTTTTTTCCTCAACACACACTAGCATTGAGCAATCCTCTAAAATATAAATTGATGTTTTTATTTTGTTAAAGAGAATCGATTTAACATGATTGAGAGAATAAAAACAAATAAACAGTCTGATAGAGATTACATTTTATAGTGTAGTTCTAACTCACTTTTTGCATTTTAGACGGAATTGTCTCTCAATACCACCTGGCCTGTAAAAGAAACAAAACAAACAATACATCACATTCTAGTAAGTAACGAGCTGTAAACAAGTTACAATGTTATTGGTTGTACATGTAAGTAAGGACTGTAAAATTGTATTTCAATGTAAAATAAATCAAATTGTTCAAAGAAATTAAAAAGACGGTCAGAGAACAAGCTGAAGCTACAATGGTAAAACATAATTATGTATACAGTTGTGTTAAATCTTGATTTTTCTACGAGCTTCTGCAACTTTTTCTGCCAGCTGTGTTTATTTTTAGTGTTGTTTTTGTTGTAGTGCAAGCATTAACCTCTTAACCCTTGAGATGAACATGTACATGTAGCTTGTACTATTTCTCATTATACACTGTAGTATCCCCACAGAATCAAACATTAAGGCAATGAAAATAAAGGAAATGATCGCACTGTAGAAAAAAACCCTTGTGAAAGTTAACAAATTCTTCTTGTCAGTGATGAAGGAAATGTAAAGGAAACAGTATGGAAAATATACACCAATGTTAAGGTGTAGAGGGCTACATACATGTACCTGGCCTATAATGAAATTTTGATCTCCACAGGTCAACTGTAATTATAACATAGCTAGTAAATTTGTGTAATCAAATTCAATTGCGCGAGTGTGCTTCATATTCCTATTGTGCACACTCATGACATCAGCAAACAAATCCCTAGAGAAAAAACTTTCTATCGGGTTGAAAATGTTATATATCGAGTTATCGAGATATGAAGCACTTGGGAAGTTTGGAGAGCACTCAAGAAGCTAGAGTTCCTCAAGGCTTAGCCGATAGCAACTCTTACGCATCTTTCATGCTCTCCAAACTTCCCGCGTGCTTCATATCTCAATGAACGCACCCTGACGTATGAGCCAATTGTTAAATATATACATAAGCATATTTAAAGCAAAAACAACATTTGAGAAGGGAGCAGAGAAGGGAAAATACCTGTTGACCAAGAAGAAGTGCATGGAATGAAATGTTTAATTACCAAGCCAACAAGGATTACACCGACATCAGAGACACTGCTGGACATTATTTTAACCAACAAACCCAACCTTTTCATGACAGGAGGCTCTTTTAACCCAGAGATATTTGATCACCACCTTATTTATGGCATTTTAAAGCAATCTGCATTACAGCATAGACAAAAGACCATCAAATTCAGACGCCTGAAAAATGTAGATACGGATCAGCTTAATGAGGACTTGGCAAATGCTCCCTAGACTGTTGGAAAAACATTTGATGCCATCAAGGACCAATATGACCCATGGAAACCATTTTTGAAAGTGTACTGGAAGAACATATGCCAAAAATGAAGATGAGAGTTGGACAGAAAGATGCACCATATTGGACAGAAGAATGAAAAATGGAAGGTAGGAACAAAAGGAAATATGTGTTTGAAAAACTAGGAATTTCATGAAAAAATAGGAGAATATAGGAGGCAGGCCAAAAAAAAGGAAAAAATAGGAACTTAACAACCTGTTAAATGAAACAAAGCCACAGGGTGGGATGGAATCTCTCCAAAAGTTCTACAGTTAACTACCAGAGGTCTGGCACTGTCCTTAACAAGTCTCTAGAACACCATCACTAGGAAGGGAAATTGGCCAAACATGTGGAAAATGAGGGAGTGGACCCCTGCCTTCAAGAAACGAGATAAAACCAACCGGGGAAATTACCAACCTTTAACAGTACTGAACTCTATTAAAATATTAAAATCATTAATTTCCAAGCAAATCATGAAAACCATGGATCCACATCTTAACCAGAAAACGTCTGGCCAAAGAAAAACACATAGCTGTGAAATAACATTAATAAGACTAACAGAGGAATGAAAAATGGCTGCCAACAATAACGAGTATGTGACTGTTCTATACACCAATATAAGCAAAGCTTTTGATTTTCTGCACCCTGCACTAATGATTCAGAAACTCAAAGCATACGGCTCTTCCAAATTAAAGACCTACAGTAAGTTACTAACAAGAGCAGGTCTACTACAACAGTTTCAAAACATCACCATTTTCACATATAAAGTAAGAAAGGACTTATGCCCACTTATAAAACTGAAATATTCAATACTGCCCTGAAACTATATAATCTAAGGAACACAGGCACACAATGGAAAACATTCTCTGTGATACTTTGGGCCCCATCTTTGGAATAAATTAGAACAAAGCGATAGAAAGAATCCTGATTTTATGAGTTTTAAAAACAGTATTAAGAGCAAAGACCTATCACTCTTAATAAATAATTGTAAAAGCTGTGATATATGCCACTAGGCTGCTTTGAATTCTACATTTATATATATTTGATATCTTATAAGCTTATTTAACTAAGTTCTTATACTTCATTCATTTATTCATTTATCTATCTATTCTATACATTATGAATTGAAATGTAAATATTTTTAACATTATGTAGCTTAGGTATATTTTAATGGGCAAACAGTGTCCCCAATTAGATTTCTTCAAGCTAAATACTATTGATACTTTAATAAAGTCCTTCATTCATTCATTCATTTGAAAAATATCAGGCTATCTCCCATATTGGACCTCAGTACCTTCAGGATACACTGTACGTAACAGATTCTACTACGGGAATGATCAGAGCAAACCGTCTTATAGGGCAGTTAATAAACACTGGGATGTATTTATAATCCATAACCGTGCAAGGTTAGATGGAAATGTACCTTCTTAAAAAAACAGTGTCGCCATCATCACATGTGAGCTTGTAAGCATGTTTTGAACCGTCTATGACTCTTGCATGGTCTGTTCTTCGCAAAGGAAGCTTTTCAAGGGTACTGTCTAGAGTTAAAATACACACAAATAGGCTACTAAAAAAATTATGAACTGCTCTTGTATGAAATTACAAACTGTTTTTTGAAGGAACAATCGATCATTTCAAACCACCTTCTGAGGTACAAGGAGCAAGATTGCTTAGAGTTTTAGAATCGTTCGAATTTGAGTCAATGTTTCAAATCTTACCTAGAATCAAAGCCATCTGTCCGCATAGACAGTGATAAACAGTCAAAGTTGTTGCGCCTTGATTGTATTCTTCTTTGTCTTTGGTGTCAGAGCACACTATACTGCGGGACACAACCTTGGGCATTTTTCAGGTAAGGCTAAAATTCTCAAATCAACGAAAAAACAACTTCGCAAGATGGCCGCCGCGCGACGTGGTTACCAAGTTAATGACCAGCAGGTCGCATTGCGGGCGTAAGACTATATCAAAACACACTAGGGAGGGCTCGATCAGTCTGGTTGTCCAGTACTGCACGTTTGGTTAGACCAGGAATGACCAGATAACAGAAGGGTCTAACTTCAAAAGTGAGGGTAAATTTTTCTTCTGTGTAAGGAGTGTTGATCTTTTCCTCCGTTTTATTAATCTTCTCTCTATTTTTTTTTTCATTCGTAAGACTGACGCACCTCCGTACCCCCGCTTAGTAGACTTTGTCACTTTCCAAGAAAAGTGAAAAAAAAGAGACATGTGAATCAATACCGATGCTTGCCAGCTCGACCATTCTTAATTAACACAATGGCAGTATCGAGCGATGTCTCAGTTGTAAAAGTATTCAATTTCATCAGTGGAAGTGGCGGAGTTTTAGAACTATCGAATTTACTTAAAAATCCCTCGCCTTTGGCAAAGAAATCTACTGAGACTGAGCTGATTTTATGGTTTCAAACTCAGAAAGATTTGGACCCAAACAACAGATTGGTTTTGGTAAGAAATCAACGTGATGAAGCTGTCGGCGTGCGAATCGACTTGGCCAAACAAATGTGTTTAAAGTACTCCACCGAAGAGTCTTGTAAATCAGGAAGTAGATGTAAATTCTGGCACTTATGTAGGGAGTTCCTTGAGGGAACTTGTAAAGGAAACTGTGGTCGATCACATAATTTTCACGATGAAGACAACAAAGCGAAAACGGTGGAATTGGGTTTTGAAGGAAAAGCGACTGGGCCTTTGAAAACTATTGTCGCCGGAAGCTTCCTGCAGGTTTGTCTTATGTATTCAAAAAATGGTTGCCTCTCTGTAAATTGTCCGTATCTTCATGTTTGTGTTAATGCGGTGCGGGCAACAGCCTGTGGATGTAGTCGGTATCACGATTTCACTAGTCCGCACAACAGAAGCTTGCTAAAACAGTATGGGTTCAGGCCTCCCCGAACGTCAGACATGGATGTCGTTCGTTGTAACATTCTGATCCCGAAGCAGCAGAAATCTTTCGAAGGAAGGGCTATCAATGATCCAAGCTTCAGCAGGCAACCCACACCAAGAGTTAATAAGCCTGATAATATTACACAGAGGCACCCCTCACATCAGGGTAAACCTGGAGCTGTTAGTCTGGCGGGTTTATGCCAAAACTTCTCTAAACCTGAACCAAAAGTACCTGCTTGGGCCAAACCAGAAATGCATCATGACACTGCACCTCCTGATGCTGATCCTCTGTTTATGAAAGTTTTTAATTTCATATGTAGTAAAGGAGGGTACTCTTCATTGCGGGACCTATTGCAACCACCCTCGCCATTGGTAGGGAAGTTTTCAAAGTCTGAGGTTGATGCAAAGATTTGGCTTCAAGTAAACACTCACCCAGAACAGGGACAGAAAATCATTTTGCTAGAGAACCAAAATGGTGATATTCTCGGTGTTCGAGTAAATTCAAGGAAAAAATTGTGTTTGCAGTATATGAAAGGTTATTGTAAATCTCTCAACACTTGTCAGTATTGGCACATCTGCAAAGGTTACCTTGAGGATACTTGTCAGGGAGGCTGTGGTCTCTCACATGACTTCCATGATGAGGGTAACATAAAGAAGATACAGAGATTGGGGATTGAGCGTTACCCAAATGGAACTTTAAAGAACATAATTTCACACAGTTTTCCCCGAATTTGTCTCCCATATGTGAATAGTAGATGCAACTACAGTAATGACTGCCGACATTTACATTTATGCCCCCTTGCTTTTGGAGGAAACTCGTGCAGTTGTAACTTGACACACGCTTTAAATGATGACCATAATTCCTCAATTCTAAAGCAATATGATTTAGATCCTCAGAGAACCAAAATAATCATAATGCAGAGCAACATCTTGTTCCCAAAGAGGCAAAAAGGCCCCACAGAAGCCAAGCTTTCCTCAGCATGTTCTTCTTTAACATCACAGCCAGCGCCTTTGATGTCCTTGCCTGTAGCCCTAAAAGATGATAACAATCTGGATTCACAAGCGAAAAGGTGTCCAGATGAGAGGCTAAAGAAGAGGAGAAGGCAACGACGAAGACAGAAGAAAAAGGCAAATCAAGCAGGTGAACCATGTGAAGAATCACTTGCAGATGACGTTGAAGAGGAAGGTTCAGATTCAACCTCAGATAATGAAGATTTGCCAGACAAACCTGATCTTTACTCAGTTTCAAAATTTTCCAATCAGCCTAGTCCAAGCACAAAGCATGTAGACACATCAGGGAATACATCTGTTCAAGGTCTGAGGAAGCAAACACAATCCAACAGTGGGATGACTTACCAGAACCAGGTTTCTGGAATGGGCACAATTGAAGTTGCTGAAGGAAACTTGATCAATTTTTCTGATGAGTTAGAAGATGGATTTCAAGATCTTGAAGATACATTTGGTTCACAGGATGACTTCTCAACTTTTGAGCCACTTTCTCAAGTTGATGATTTGCTCTTCAACCTGTCCCCAACAAACGTTGCAGGAGCACTGTCTCAGGACAGTACCTCTTTTGACCCATCTGAACAGCACAGTGCAGAAAGCCAATTGGAAAAAGAAGCTGTAAACTCTGTTTTTCAATACATTTGTAAAGAACACAATGGTGAAGTGCCTTTTGCTGTAATATCCCAATGCCACAACCTGTTTCCTCTAGATGCTATTGATATTGCTGCATGGTTCAGGGAAAACTCAAGCAGGTTTATGATCATTGAGAACAGTGAAGGGGGAATTGAATCAGTAAGAGCATGCACCCCTAAAGCACGCATCTGTTTTCGCTACTTGATGGGCAAGAATGGCTGTAAGGATCCAAAGTGTTTCCGTTACCATGTCTGCAAGCATTATCTTGCTAATGGTGCCTGTCCGTTAGGGAAGAAATGTAGATACAGCCATAGCCATAATCTGAAGAGCCCTCACAACAAAAACATCACTAAAAGGCGGAAACTTGACTGTTTCTCAGATGAGCAGCTACGTGTCCTGATTTCTGCCTCTGTTCCTGAAGTTTGTCTTGATTACAACAAGAAATCTTCTAGATGCAGGAGAGGTCTACGTTGCTATGCAATTCATGTCTGCAAGCATTATGTAATGGGCAATTGCAAAAATGGAGCCAACTGCCCTCTTAACCATGAGGCAAGTCTCAAAGAACCCCATACCCGGTTAGTTCTAGAGAAGTACAATTTGACCACTGTTCCAGTGCAAGCTGTCTTTAGAGCCATTCTGGTGCGTGGACAGAGGAAACCATTGACCATGGAAACCAAAGAGGAACAAGAAGCTGGTAAGAAGTGTAATCAGTATTGTACCTTTGGTACTGGGCTGCACTGGAAATTGCTTGAAGTACCATTACCCAAGTTAGTTTTTATGGTTACATACACTATCTCATGATCTGTACACATCTGACCAAGAAATTTTGTCATTTATGTTTTGAACCTGGTCATGGTCATTTCTAACTCAATTTGTAAGCATGGGGTTGTTTATGGCTCTTTTTTTTATTGAGCTTGTTCACTTGCATGTATCTATTTTACAGATGCAAATCATTGTGTCAAAGAAATGAGATGATACTGTACTATGATGTTAGACGAATGTCAGAGACATCAAATCTTATGAAATAACCATACATCTACCAAAGAAATTGATGAGATTTCATCATCTAACGCCCAAAATCATCCTTTACCATGTATTTGTTCATGGCAGGATTCTAATGACTCTGATTCCAGCGGTTTGGGAATGTTTGGTATTCTTGATTTTATTTTATATATTTAATAATTAACCCTGTTCATACACAGGCCTCTAAGAACATAAATGAAAATTCAGTTCTAAATTTATTACTGAACAATCTCTTTGTTAATTCTGTAGCTGCACAACCTCAAAAGAAACAAGTGATGAATCCAAAGACAGAGGTGCAAAACTTCCATAGCCCCCAGTACATCTGCCTGGAATTCCTATTGGGTCATTGTGGCAAGGCTCAATTGTGTGAGTACTTTCATCACAACATGCCATACATGTGGCAGTATAGATACCTTGACAATGAGCAAGCAGATGGATGGAAGGCATTCACCGAAAATGAGAGTGAAGACATTGAGAGACAGTTCTGCACTGTTGATGTTACAGAGACAGAAATTGGACACATTCAAGTTGCACCTCCTCCAACTGCACTGTAAGTACAACTTGTTTCACCAATAGGAAATTACAGCTTTAATCACTTTTCTTGTCTAGTGAACCTGAAGAATATTTTTATTTGTTAAATAAAGAAAGGTAGCCAGCCCTTATCCCTGGAATACCCACCCTCTCTTCATAACTTATGACTGATTTCCCAGAATACACTCTGCAACCGACAGTGAGGAGTTTTGATGAAGGAAGGGCTGTTAAATTAACTAACTGAAGCTCCAGTTTTAAGCTTGGAAAGATCTTTATATTATAAGTTAACGCTGATCTAAATATGATTGATAATCATAATGTTTGGTTTCACTTCTGTGTGATAGTTAACTTTCCCTTTTGTTGCTGCAGTATTGATCCTGGAGAAGGTTACATCAAGATCAACTTTGATGAAATGAAAGCTGTGACAGGATTTGGATCTGTGGAGCTGAGACGTCTGTCCACTAAGTCAGTGAGCTCGCTTACAGATCATTCTCTATTGACTACATGGGTTTGGTACCTGTCAGATCAGGACAGCAGTTGGACTGAGTATGATTCTGAGCTTATGGTATGTCTGTAAGATAATTGCTGATCATTCCTACTCTTTTGGGTAAAAACAGAGGAAAAAAAATTAATATCAAGAACACAGACTATCATTGGCTTGGTAACAGAAAAGGGGTCCTCTCTTCTCATCTGAGAGTTGCTTGACAATTCACTGCATTCTTTTAGGCCAATGAGCAAATCAAATTTTATCTTAGGTCTGAAAAGTAAAAAAAACATTTTTGGAGAATTTGGTGAGTGATTTATGAAGCTCTGCAAGTAAGATGATATAAATATCCACATCTGGAGACAGTTTTGGTTCTGAAACTGCCCTAAAGTAACCGCAGCCTATATATATATGTATGTATGTAATTTATGTATGAATATTTATATGTATATGTATATATTTATATATATGCATAATTTTTTTTTTTTGCTTTTGTCATCCATTTTAGGGACAAATTTACTGTGAGCATAGCTTTTCTTTGATATTGTTGTTTATTTAATATTTTTGTATTTATTAACGAGCTTCGAGCATTTTCCATATTCAGGAAATGTCCCCTTCTTTTCCATGCAATGGCAGGTTTTATTATAATTTATTGATTCTTAGATACCGAAGTTTTATGTTTGTCGTTATTTCGGGAAAAAAGGGGAGTTCACTTCCTCATTTCGGCGGTGGTATCTTCTGAAGGCTTATTTTTTTCTATTTTCTTTTTTTTCGTGCCATGATGTCTCCAAACAGAAGCGAATAGAAGAGTCGTTCACCAAAGGAAGATCATTCCATAAATTTAAAAGAGGAGGAGAGGACCACAAGTTGTTTTTTCACAAAACATCCATGTACCAGCAGAACTCGAAACCACCCATTAAAGTTACAAAAGTGAGAAGAAGGCCTTTGTTTAGGTCTAAGTCGGAAATAGAGAGGCTGCAGAGGTAAAAACTAACACTGTGAATGCTTACCTCTAAAGATATGTTAGATCCAGTCACCTTGATTTCTACAAGGTTATTTTGTGGCATGATGACCCTATCGTCCATCTCAGGGGGTCATTTAAAACGTAAAATGCGCTCGTAGCAACAACGAAGGCAACTTATGCGCAAGGCTTATTTTACAATACAGAAAGTCATGAGGTAGAAACACGTGGGAAACGCGTGTTGACGAGGAATATATTTTTGTTTTTGCATGCATCAAATTGGTGGGGTGATTGTTATTTTGACCAATCACAGTAAGCGCACTTGGGTAGGCCGAACACTTCGGGTGGTGTTCTGTTTGTTTATTTCTTTTGTTTTCTTGTATGTGTAAATGTAAATTAGTGTTTTCGTTTCTCCAGTGAGATTTTTACTTTGCTGTTTGAGTTTTTGTTTACTGGTATCTAGAGTGTATACATCGTAGTCAGACGAATATTGTATGGGTATATGTTATAAGCTAGCTTTTGTTGTATCTGCTTTGAGACTCTGTACAAACACGAGTTTATTTTATGTCATTATCATTATCACTTTTCTAAAGAAGGCCAGGAACTGAAAAAATCAAACGAACAGTATGAGCTTTAATTCGCGAGGAAAAGCACTATAAGGTTAAGCGAACTTCGTGTTTTTTTTTTTATATTCTTCAGTCCCCTTGAACTACCAATCCCATTGCAACCCGCAACACCAGGGCAGTCTACCTCAACTTCATCACATGGTCACAATCCTCCTCACTGGGAACGTGTTCCTGAAGACCGAGAGTTCATGCGTGTTCCTCTGACTAGCAACTCAGATGAATTCAAACTTGCCGAAAGCCTGTTTCGCCAAACCATGTCCGAAAACAAGGCAACTATCATCTCCGTTGAGCGAGTTCAAAATCCGTTTTTGTGGAAGAAGTATGCAGAGTATGTATTGAACGTGTTATTTCTTCTTTTGGCAGTTAATCCTCTTCGAGGTTTTTTCTAGGTATTACAGTCATACACACCAGTGTAACTCTTGCTCTTGATGATCCCAACAGACTTTGAAGTCGCTGAGGTTGCATTTGACACATACATTTGCAGTGAACTAGGAAAGTAGGAAATGTCGAGCCCGCAGCCAGAGATGAATTGGGTTAAGCAGTTGACTACTTTACGCATAAAGTCATACATCTCGTGAATACTGCTGCCTGCGTCTTTTAATCAGTTCTGGCCTCTTGGCTTATTGTTTAAGAAAATTACCTTAAGGTAAACGAAACAAGAACTGAACTCTGGTTAAAATAAAAACTTCAACAACGCAATTATAACGGCAATGAGAAAAAAATTATCGCTAAAACTTGCAACTCACTCACTTCAAATCAAAACAGAATTTAGGTTGAAATTGCATTCTCAATAATGAAGCTGAAATTTTGTGCTGTTCCTCTTAGTAAGAAAGAATGGATGGAGAAGAAGGCCTTGGTCAAAGACAATCCTATGAATGAAAAACTTCTCTTCCACGGAGTTGATCCCCAAGTTGTAGACACGATATGTGAGGAGAACATCGACTGTCGTGCTCTAGAAGAGGACCGAGCTGCCCAGTTCGGTAAAGGAGCCTACTTCACAGAGGAGGCAGCCTTGAGTAATCTCTACTGCAGGCAAGACTCCGAGTCCTTCCGGTACATGTTTTTGTGCGAGGTTCTTGTGGGGTCATATGCCAAAGGTGAGCCAACCTTACCACGACCACCGTTAAGGAGTGACTCCGAAGCCAAGAAACAGCGTTATGACTCTTGTGTGGATAACGTCACCAAGCCCGCCATTTTTGTGCTGTTTGCCTCGGATCAGTATTACCCGACTTTCTTGATAAAGTTCAAGACCAAATCTAAGGTGGTCTGTTGATCATTGAGGTACATATACTGTTTACAGACCTCATAACATACTCACGTTTAGATTATAAATTTTCATTCTAAGGCTTGAGAAGCTTTGAATGCTTAAACGAAGTGAGCGCATTTCTTTGGTCAGCGTTTAAAATGGAGTTGAATTTTAAAATGAAAGTAAAAAACGTATACATGTATCTTCCTTTCCCGTTTCGGTGAGCTCGAAAGCAGCGAATATGATTTTTCGATTGAAAATAATCAATCTACATACAGAAACATTCGAAATAAGGAAGAAAGAAGCCAAGGTGGTATTAAACTGACTTGAAATTGGTTCGATATTTCATTTTATGTCATGACCATTGAAAGCAGCGCTCTTTGGGTTTTATGACAAGAGTATGAGGTGATTTGAAAGGGTTTGTTATCTGAAATACAGTTCTTAAGCCCTTGCAGAATTCTCTTTTCATTGAAGACTCATTATTGCTACAAGAGATGCACAGGAATCTTTTTCCCCTGAAATTCTATCCTCCTGAATAACCAGTCTCATACTCATGTGGTATAAATTAGCTTTTAATTTCCTGTAGCAGTAAAATGAACGGTAATATTTCCTTTGGGACGTGTTCCTTATGGGATGTCAAACCGCACCCCTAGTTAACACCACAAAAGGGACAACTATGTTTATGGGATATTTCAGTGTCTGTTGAATGAAGGTCCCATTGCATTTTTTCTTGTGTGGTAGTAATATAAAATGTAACTAAGAGAGGTATTATGTGGTCTGAGGCCACTGATAAGTTAATTTATCTCTTCGGTCGATGAAACTATTCACCATAAAACGTCCTCCGTATGTGCGTATAGCAGATACTGACGTCATTCTGACGTTAAACTCAACTATCAGGATCATCTTCGACTGACAATTTAATCGCTTTTCGTCATAGAAGCAGGTCTCAGAAAAAAAAAAAAAAAAAAAAAAGAATAAACGGTTTTGTTAAAAATATCGCTCGTTCCAGCACAAGAAACGCGATAATTTTATGCTGCAGTTTATTTCACGTGTACGTTGGTCGGTCGACTGAGCCACTTTTTCGGAAGGTGCGAAGTGATTTGCGAGTACTCACGTACTTCCCGACTTCACAACGGAAACTGCATACCCCTTGCTATTACGACTCACGAAGGCTCTGAAATTATGTGGCCTACCTGAAATTATGTGGCCTACTGTAACGTGCAACTGTCACAAAGTACTGAGTTGTGTTTTGATAGTTATTGTCTCTTGTTACGAAGGTACTTCAGGTACCAATGCAAGTTTCGGACTTGAGCACTTTTGTTTTGCTCCAAAGGGTTTTTTACTCTTATAAGCTGGTCTATAAAAGGCTTATTTCACAATAGTAAGTCATCTTAAAGCCATGCACGGCTTACTTGTGAAGAGGGCAAAACTTTTTCTTCCGTTTTTTGTGACCAAGTGGAAGTTTACCCATGAAACTCCGTAAAATTGTAGCCCACGATCTTATGGTTCACCCAAAATGAATCTTGCGCCTGTCAACAATTTTTTTGAATGACGTTAGTGTTCATGATAAGGTGATTTGATCTCCCTGGTTAGATCAGCTAACTCTGCTACATTTTGAACAGCAATTTATGGTAGTCTTGAAATACCATTTTAAATGCGCCATTTCAAGTTGACCCGTAATGCTGCGTGAGATTTTTCAAGCATTCCAATCATGTAAACATACCTAAGGGGAAAAATGACGTGACCTAGAAATTTCCCAAAAGAATTAGGTAGAAAAGAACTGGACAATTAGATTCATGTTTATGCCATAAATGACGAAAAATTGTGTCATAAAACTGAATGTATTACATCAATTCTTTAGTTTCGAGGGAAGTGTAGTCTTTGGTTGCTTGCTTTAGTGCGGAATGTTTATGCACGGTAGACCATAAAGTGTAGTTGGGTGTTGTCTCATGCAAACCATGCTTAGAAATAGGTCCGTCTCCCCCAAAAATGGCTCAGCACAGTCATTGTGACCCTGCGAAGTTGTGTAGAAATACTCAGGAGATGACAGTAACATTCGGGTTGTCTTATTTTACTAAAACTTAGTTTTAGTGAATTAGTTCAGTTCCAAGTCGATTGTTTGTCCAATTCGGAAGAAACTGCCTTTTTTTCTCTGAATTTAAAATAATATATGGCGCAGTCCTTAACTGTTTTACTCCCAAGATCTCATCAGTAATTCTGGTCACGGAAAGATGTGCGACGCTTACTTGTTGGCGTGCGGTGTAAGGCGTTAGTTGATTTGCGCTTCTTTATCCATTGCTTAAATCACTACTTTTTTCCTTTACTTTTACTCCTAAGCGCCAATTTTATATGTATATTTACTCTTTATCGTTAACGTATCAATATATATATTTTTTCACATTGATTGCTAATGTTTTCGCAGTCTAGTACCTTTGATTCGGTAAGGTGAATTGCTAAATCAGTGAAGGAAACAATGTCTTGTTCAGCTCATCCTTTGGTGACCTTAATTTCCTGGCTATACCACCTAGTGTATTTTACCCTTGAGAAATCGTACTGTTTCTTGTGGAAGAGATCTTGTTCGCGTCAACGGCTGCGATGAACTGAACACGACAGTTGTATCCAGAAAAACATCATGTTATTTGGAAGTTATAGAACTTGTAAACTGTAAGTTAAAACTATGGAATTAAACGGTTGTTGAACTTAAAAAGTTTTTGATGTCTTTTTCTTCGTACTCGGTGGTCGCAGATATAAAAGAAACGATAAAAGACTGCATTTTTGTGTTAATACATAGATTTGATGGCCATAAAAAGAGATGCAAGCGTTATTTTCCTTATTTCCAAAATTTACGCACGCTGTACCCCTACTCTGCCAGTGTTCTTTTGTTGCTAGGTAATCCATGCGCAAAAGTCAGCGCTCCAGCGATGTGTAAGTTTGTTCTGATCGTACAGTTTTCTAAGCAGTTATGAAAGGGAAATAATGCTTAAAAAGCAAAACGTTCAAAAAAAGTCACGTTTAAAAAAAGCAATACAATCATTCAGCTGTTGTATCAAATGATTGTAATCATACAGATGATCATAGATATGATGATGGCTGTTATAATTTTGATCTTTCCCGGGGAAAATTTTCTTGGACAGGAACAGCTTGGAACATGCGCCTTCAAGACTTATAAGTGGTTGGAGAAAGTTGAACGGCTTGAAGAGCTAAACGCACGATCTGCACAAATGGGTATATTTATGGCAGTCATAGTCCTCGCTTAATAACTGGACTGTGTGAATGCATCATCGTCATTACGGGTTATTGACAGCCAAGATGAGCTCCAGGTTCTTCCTTGTGTAGTTAGTTCATCAGAATGATCGCTTTCCCTGTTAAACTTGGTTGAACACCCTGACTTGTCACGAGTAACAGAGTCTCTCCGTGACTGCAACTCAGCTGCAATGATATGGGGGATATCTGCTTGAAGGAGCGTTGGTGGTAACTCTCTCGTTTTGAACAGCTGCCCATGAAACAAAGAGTTTTGATAACAGGGAGCCTTCCGTGATAATTTTTTATGAGACAACCGAACTTGTATCACAGGGTCTTTGGCCATCTCTCTTTGAATCATTTCCCCCCTTAACAGAGGTGCACGGTTCTGATACATGGGGACTTGAAAAACCTTTCCCTGGCCAAGAGTTCCCTTGCACTTTTTGTTCTGGAAGATTTGTTGACGGTTAGAACTTCATTGAAGGAAAAGTGGCTGCTGGTAACCTTGCCTCGTCTGTAAAAGTGAGACAAAGGATATCTGGACCCGTGACCACAGTGGCGGTTGGATTTCTTCAGCATCCAGGGTGCTGCTCTTGAAAATATTTGAGACTGGGACAGCACTGCTTGTGATAATTTGGCTTTGGGCTTAGGGACTTGCAGCAACCGTGTGGGAATCCCTTGAGTCTGAGGAAAAACTGAATTGCAAATTCGCACTTTTGAATTAGCTGTGTCGCCTTTTTTAACCGGTTCTTCATTCATCAGAATGAGCTGGTCGAGATAGCCTGAATCCAAATCGGTCACCTGATACCAGTCAAGCACTTCCCTACTGTGCTCACTCCTCATGGTCTCCTCATGGCTAAGACCGCAGCCAGATGCTTTACAGCGCCTCAGTAAGTAGGCGATGCACGTATGGATTCTGGTGCACGAGGACCCATCCTGACAAATTCCATTGTTGTACTCTGCGCAAATCTGTGGTGTCGATGTCAACACGAGCCAACGAAGCTCTTCCTCAATAAACTGATCTAGCTTAATTCTCGACAGCCATACCCGGTCTTTTTCGTTGTGAAAGCTGTGCATGTACGAGCAGCTTTCATTCGAACAAGTTACATTGCAGGTATAACCATGACAGATACATGCCCTTGAAGAGAAGGCTTAAACTTCTGAAATCATTCCCTAATCATCTTCCTTTATCGAAAAACTTCCTTTGTTCTCACGAAACCACAGCTCGATATCAGAATGCTTGGGAGGGTAGAGATCCGTCCATTTACAAATGATAGAAAAAGGGGCCGATTAGAGGTACTCTTTGCACAGACACTCGAAAACCTTTAACTCTGATGGTTCGAAGTGGGTGACAGCAATACGTGAGCTGGAAATGCTACCAAGGTATCTCACCTGGCAACTTTTGCTACTTGATGATTTTTCATCTGCGTTGGAACCAGCTTCAAAAATGTTTTCGACTTTGTTTTTATCTTCCAAGTTTGCGTCAATGGTTGGAGAATGGTCGGTGGATTTTTGTGAAGACTTTGGAAGATTATTGTGATCGCTGGGTGGAGTGTTTGGTTTATCGGTGTACTTGATTGGGTTCGGACACATCCTGGTATTGACATTTTCATCTGATGTCGAATCCATCGGAAATTCAACCTTGTCTTCAGATGGAATGTATAGAAAATTGAGGGAACTATTATTCAGCATTGAACGGGAATGTTTGGCCAGGTTGTTAACAAGTGGAACGGATGATTTTACCAAGTGATGTGACACTTTTTTAGGTTGTTTACTGCTTTGTTTTTCTTTTCGACCATTTTCTTGCATCTTTAGTGTTACTTCGTTGAGCGCCAGTCAAAGAGTCACTTGGCGAACTCTTTGCAGTCGCGTTACCTGAGCAACGTGCGCCCGCTACACTTGGAGGTGATGCCGTGACGATTGAAATTTGGGCATGATTACCGCTTCCCTTTTTAATGGGAGCAACACTTGAGTATTTGCACCCCTTGATACGTTTTTGTTCTTTTAGGACTAAAATACTGCAGCGGACAAAATCGATACTCATCCCCTTATGCGGTTTCAAATCGTACTGTCTGAGGACTAGTACATTATGAAAATCGGTCACATCATGTGACGTGGCTTATTTACAAGGCGACTCTCGAATTGCCTTGGGGCAGATGTGAAGATATGGGCACTTATTTGATTTACAATCTGTTCTTAAATACAACAAGTAAACCTGAGGAAGACTCCAGGCTACCACGCTTTTTATCGCGTCATTTGTCCTCTTTTCGAGGTTGAACTTTTCTGTGTTTTTCTTGCTAACCTTGTCCAAACGATTGAATGAGCATTTACAGTCTCCGTCACAATTTCCGTCAATAAAACTTTTGCAGAGATGCCAAAACTTACACCTTTCTTGCCCTCTTGCACATGACCCTTTGATTACATACTCCTGGCACATTTTCTTCCTTAGATCAATATGCGCACCAGCAGTTTCACCATTGCGATCTTTCACAACAGCAAGACCACTTGCCTCTTCAACCATCTTATCACTCCTCCCTCTGTTCCTTTAAATGCCAATGGTGACGGATGCTCTAAAAAATTAATCCAATTCGGCGAAACCGCCAGAATCGTAGACAAAGTTAAACACTTTGTGGACCACATTATCGTACTCCATGTCACTGGTGGCTGACCACTGAAACATGACGTTCAAATCGAAAAGTAATGATCATCATGTGGCTTTTCCTTTGTCATGAGCAGTCTTCGCCTCGGGAAATGATAATATTGCTTTTTGTCAAGAATGTTCTTGCTTGCAAAACATTCGCACGTACCCTCTTCGCAAGCTATTCCGTCTATTACGTCTATAATTCCTTAATTCTGGTTTTTTAAATGATTATCTGATTTCCCACACTGCTTTCGAAATTTTTCATTCGAAAATGTTGATCTTTTTGCTAGTTTTAAACAATGGTTTCCCTTTTGCGCTGATTGCGTTGCTGATGTAAGGTCGCGTTCGAGAATCCTCTGAATTAAAAAAACAGAATTAAAAATGTCGTCACAGTAAATTTAGCTACTTTGAATGTAAACAAGCACTCGATGAAATTTTTTAATCCATACCAAATTTTCCATCTCTTTTAATCTTATTATTTCTGCTAACAAGTTATGGAGCGAGGCTCCAAACGTGAGGTCTCTCCCGAAGGTAAATTATGGAAAATATAAAAAAGAGGAGTGGGTGTCAAAGTGATTTGCCCGACGAATTAATTAACATGCGGCGCATAAACTGGCGGCTTTTTCCTCACGACAGGAGTTTATGCGATCAGGAAAGCGTTCAATCTTCTTTTTCTCCTTTCATAATCGTGAAATTGACGACAACCGGCTAAATTCGCGTTTCTGATGACTAATTGTTATTTTGCACCAGGAAATGTCAATGATCAGTTAGTTTTCAAAAGGAAAATTTTCGCTTCAGCACCTTGCAATATATTATTAAGTTGCTAGCTGCTACCCCTAAAGGCTATCTAAGACCGGCACACGAACTCCCCATTGAAGAACAACAAGAGGACATATATGTATTAACACACTGCATGCCGGTTCTTTCTCAGGGAAAGTATGCGTCAGCACAGTGGGATACCAACTCGCCTGAATGGAGACTTTGCAAATTTAAAAAACTGATAAAAGACTACATGGTAACACAGAAAGTTGTCATCTAGTGAAGCTTTCTTCGGCAAATACTTAAAAGTGCACGGATTATTGAGGATGATATCTGTCCTGATATATAGTGGTTACTCTTGATAAATTATTATGCAAATTTTAGCAGATTGATATGTTTAAGAGACAGAAATAAATTTATATGGGCATAACTTAGTTATGGCGCTAATAGCATTCCTTACAAGGCATCATATCTATTGGAAGTTTCTTATAAAACAACAGTTCCACCAGAATTTGCAAGCCGCAAAGTATTGTCACTAGTGCAACTAAAATTGCCATGGAATGGTCTAGATACCACAAGTCTGTATGAACAAGTAAAAAGGCGCAGTTACTAATAAGAAGGCCAAACATTAGTGCAGCCGATAACACGGAGTCTATACAGCTCCCGAGCATCGCTGAACTTAAAAGTTTCTTAGAAACGTAACACTGCATCACGGCTAGCAAAGTGTACAGAAAGCAACCAACGCTTAGAACAGCCACGATGCAAAACGTTTTGGTGGGATGATCTTTCTCGACAATTCTTTTGATTGATAATCCCGCAGTCAAAGTTCCGCTGACAATAAAAGAAGTCGCAAACACAAGACAGGATATTCTCTCTCTTTTATACCCCAAACTGCCGTTCTTTGCTGTCTTGAATCTCCACAGAACAACGAAGGAGCATAAGAAAGCATTAGCACAATCAAATGCGAGCGCGAGAGCAGAAGAGCTGTCGTACGCCCCGGCGGCTCGAAACGAAGCAATTGTTATACTAAAAGATACAACAATGCAGAATACCGTCACCCATATTGCAGCCCTTCTCCATCGCTGTTTCATATGTTCTGGCATTTTCTTTGTGTGATCTATCATTAAATCTTCGTCCATAAACGATATACAAGGTGTGCTTCCTTTCTTATCCAATTCATCAGTGATGGGAGGGAATCCTACGATCTTTCCCGAAGAATTGCCATTCGAAGTGAAATTCAAATTGATGCCTAAAAATGTTTCAGAAGATTCCTCTTCGCTTTCGGAGCTGTGATTTCCTCCATTTCGTCGCCAAGGGGAAATTTTCGACATTTATGATAAGCGTGTTCCCCAGAATTACAAAAGAAATCGTGCAATGAGTAGTTCCTCAAATTGTAATTTTCACGATCGTTCCTATTTTGTGCTCTCAAGTGTTAAATAAATATTCCAATTGCAAGTTCATTTAGTATACAAGAATTTCAGGCCTGAATGGTTTCTTTTCAAAAGCAAGAAAAGAAGGTGGGTTTTCCATCAGGAAACAGAAAGGACATGCCACGATTGGTTTGAGGAGATAGAAATGAAGTGGCCAATCTAGTTTTATTCATTTTTACATTACCTCACTAATAAAATCGCTTCTGAATTATCTTCTGAACCAGTTGCGTTACTGTTGACAGGGAAACTTAACTCGTTTACCTGAAAGTCTGGTAAATTCACTACTTTCTTTAAAGGTTAAGCACCCACTGTAGGGGAAAACATATTTATTTCACTGACCTATTCCAGTTTTATCTACTTTTGAAGCTGTTTTGGAAGACTGTCTTTCTTTGCAATTACGCGAAGCAACTGAGGAACGCAATTTCAATTGTTTCTGAAACGAAAACAGGAACAGAAATATCTCAAAACCGCACCAAGAACGTGGGTGGGCTAAATCTGAAGAGAAGCGATCGATGACCCTAGGGAAAAGATAGGCGAAGATGAAAACGTAAAGGAAAACCATTTTAGCAAATAGAGCATCCGACGGAAACAGAACGGAAAGTTCGAGAATCGCAATGAATCAGGGACCGAGACATCGAAAATTATTCAAATGAATGCAAACCGGCGGAAAATCAAAGAATCCCAAGTGCCCCTTTAGAACACATTGGACTTAACTGTACAATGAAAGTGTCATGCAATCCTCTCAGATATAATTGATAACAAACCTTTTTGTATGCGTGCGTGTGCGTGTGAACATAGCCCTCTCTCTTTTGTACATACATGTAAATTAACTCCCTAGCCTAGCTTTAACGTGGAAATTATTTTGTTTTCAAACTTGCTGTCAAGACCAGAAACGTAAATTTACATAAATTAAAGATTGGCCGCCATTTATGAATGAGGTCTAAATTGCGCACTTATGTCGCCGCAAAATGAGCAAATAAATAGGGTAATATGTTAAGTCTGGACGGAATATTACGTTTTCAGTGTTTTCAGAAGTTTGAATATCTTCCCTATAGGGCAACTCCAAACTCAACCAGGTAGCTAAGCAGTTTAAGATGCGTAATAATTTCAAAGATCGATGAATGAATGAACAAAAGAAGAAGCATTGTGTAATCCTTGAATTATTTATTTGAGCTCAATAATTTTACATCAGTCCACACTTATTTCAATTGCAAGAATAACTTAATTTAACTCCCATTTTTAGGCCTTTTAACCGTGCACATAACGAATCAAAGGTATTTCATAATACATCTCAGTAAACTGCCCACGCTCATGGCAAACAAATTTAACATAATTCTGAAAAACATTGAATTCGGCATTACACTTCACAACTTTTGGGTTGAATACTCTTCGGACAGTATTTAAAAAATCAGAGTAATTGTGTTAAACGGACTAGCTTAACAAGCTATGGTGTCACTGGATGTGTTTTCTTACACCCGTTTGCACTATAGAAGGAAACACTCACGCAAATACGACTTTTCTATTTCGGCAAGGCGAAGGTAATTTGAATCGTATATCAAATACAATTCTATCTGACCACGACGACGTATGTAAGTTGTTTTGAAAATATCGTGGGGCTAAGAACCGCGTTAATACGTTGTGTGGTTTCCTTAACAGAGAAAAGTAACGCTTTAGTTTTTTCATAGAGGTTACCAAACCATTCTTTGAGTTGATGTTGTTATTTTTTGTTTGTTTCATTTCACATTATTAACATTAACATCTTTCATTACCAACGTCATTGTCATCGTCATCATTTTTATCGTCATCGTCATCATTTTTATCGTCATCGTCATCATTTTTATCGTCATCGTCATCATTTTTATCGTCATCGTCATCGATATCGTCAGCGTCCTCGTCATCCTCAACGTTATCCTCATCGACCTCATCATTATCATCATCGTTATCATAGTTTTCGAGGTCATCGTCACTGTCACCGTCATCGTCATCATCATCATCATCATCATCATTATTTTTGCTCTTATTGTTCCTTTTTTGATCAAGAATTTTTTTGATTTGCTTTTTTTTTATCATCATTACAATCATCTACCACTGTAATTCTCATCATCGTTATCGTTATCATCATCATTGTTCTTGTTCTCATTCATGTTTCCATTTCTGAAGAATAAAGTACCTGAGCTTAACGCTGGTCTTAGCTTGTCAATGACGAAACGATCATTAACAACCGTATTTCTAACCGCTTAAACCATCACAAGTTAAGCGATAAGTCTATATGACTAGAGAGCTTTTTCGATTCAGGGAGGTCTCTTAGTGAATAATGATATATGTACTTGGATAACGTGTTTAGATCCTTGCTACCATCTAGTTCAGATCATGCGATGATTCACTGACGTAGAAGTATTGTTTGCTCATATTCCCTACACTCTACTACTTGTGAGATATTGCTTATTTCTTGCCCCCTCGCATGAATCATTACATGATTTAAATTGACGATAACAGGGATAAAGACAGGTGCCCGACCCCGTCTATTCATTTAACTGTAAAGCATTTTTACGTAATTTCTAAGAAAAAAAAATAAAGAATATAATGAGATTAAACTAATAGCCCAAACCCACCTATCTCTTCTAAAGAGTTTAACTCCTAGCTTTCTGCGCTTCTCTACTTTTGTTTTGTCTCGTTTGTTAACTTTTTGTTTTGCTTCTAAACTTGAGTTTGTTCTTGTTTTCAGAGTTTTTTCTCGTTTGCCGTTGTTTCTATTTATTTATTTTTTTTTTTTTTTGCACTTCAGTGTGTGTTTGAATTTTGTCTTGTTTTTTTCGTGTTTTCGAACAGGACTTTTTTCTATCGGGCGATCAAATATCCATAATGCAGGAGGTTGCTGTCTCCGCTGCATTTTACAAAGACACTATCTGCACATCAAATTTCCGATCCACGTTCACTAGTGGCATTGGTGAACGAATTTTTAAAACGGCACCTAGAAACAAATCCACATATCATACGACTGAACCGTTTACATACTTAGAGAATTGTTGAATAGCTTAGTAGGAAAGGAAGTTACATCACCACATGTGAAACTATTTGAATCATACGTCATAAAGGCAGACACCGAAAAGCATAAGTAACTTCCACTTAACAGTCCTCAAATCAATTACGTGTATGCTTCAAAACTGCGGTGAACTTTTCGAAGAAATTTACGTCTGCAGTTAGTGCTCCTAGATTCAGAAACTCCTTTACAAAAACCTACTTCAACAAATATAGCATTATCCATCATTAGTACGAAACACAGACACACTCTCTCCTTCTTTGAAGTCACATTACCAAGCACTTGTTTTCTTTGGAAGATTTCGAGGAGCTGCTAGGAGTTGAACTGTGGTGTGACACATTAGAAGTATTCGTTGATGAAGAATAATTTCTTGATGTTCCTGTGCTTGAGATGTGCGATGAATATGTTGTATTATGAGAGCTCGCCGTACCTGAATAGTAGCTTGTACCTGTGCTGCGGTACGGTGTACTAGACGAGCTGTTAGAGGCTGAGCCATAACTACTCGATGCCACACTACTAGATGAGTAATAACCACTTGTGGGATTAAAGGAGCTGGTAGATGGGGCAGCTCGGCTATAAGAAGGTACTGCATACGCTCCTGTCTGAGGGCCAGCTCCGCGAGCTCCGGAATACCTTCTACTTTCATCAGAATACTCAATGATGTACTCTGGATAGAACTGATCGGTGTCAAACACCACAAATATGGTTGGATTGTACTCGTCGTCCACACAAGAGTCGTACAGGTCACTCGAAGGATTGGATGGTTGTTTTGGAGGCGGTCTTCGATAGCTGGAGTCGCCTTTGGTGTAAGTTCCAACAAGGACTTTGACTAAGAATATGAATTGAGACGAATTTGCGTCTTTCTTTGCATAAGCATCGCTGTAAGAGGCATTTACAGCGAAATAACTTCCTTCACCATAAACAGTGGCGTTCTTTCCGTTTAAGCGCCAGTCAAAGTTTTGTTTACAAATGGCCTCTACAGCATCGGGGCTGGTTCCGTGGAACAACCTCTTTTCGTTCAAGGGGGAAAACTTGTGACCGCCTGTCTTGATCGTCAACAAATATTCCTTTTTCCTTTCAAAAACAAACAAAAACAAGGCTTCAGGTAAAGAGCGTTTTACGTATACCCAATTACGACCATTTCCACGGAAGAATAGAGTATGTTTCAACATAAGAATGTTTCAAACAATCCACCAACACTGAGGTGAATAGTTTTTCTATTATTTACGAAAACGTTGAAATAATATAGCACAAAAAGTTGATTTTGACTCAAATCACTTTTCAGGGGATTTTAAAATCCCCTGAAGAGAGATTTTAATAACTAAACAGGCTTTTCGGGATGAAAGCGTAGTCTCCTTGTTTTTTCCCCCTAACACAGTACATATCACGCTCTATTTTTATGTATCGAGCACTGTAAGACGGAAAAATCGAAACAAAGATTTCCTACATATATATAAATAAATAAATAATACCTTTGATACTTTCCCCACATGAAAGAGTTTTGCACACGCTGGATTCTATGGATAACGACCCTTTTTTCGATTGAACTTTTAAATAACCTCTCCACTTCTTTGTACTCAGATGATACAGTGCTTAACTTGACACGTGTGTACTGCATAGTAGATGGCATAGAAGCCCAGTTGCTAGGCCTTTCAGTATTTGATACATTTGTAATCGGTTTTCCCTTCCTGGATGACCTTGGGCGAAAAAAATTGAAAATACTTATACTTAAGCAAGACAGACATAAAAAAAAAAAAACACTCAAGCGCAATTAATGTACCTACCAAAATTTTAAAGTTATCTGTAACCTGACCCAAACTTCCCTAGTTTTTTGGGGAGTTCCACCACTACTATCGCACCATTTTGCACTCCGTTTTGCCAGAAAGAGCATTTTGTTAAGTCAAGCTGCGACTGTTTCGATACAGTCTAGTGCTCCGAGATATTCCAATATCTTGGCGTTCCTGGCTTTGCCACATTCTCCAGATTGATAGCTCTAGGTTTGACCCTTCACCTGACCAGGGCAACATGGCTTACTCCCCGAAAGGTCATATCGCTCTCTTCATGCAGTAAGTATTTAAAATGTGATAAAACAGTGTGCTTCAATCCTTTGGTGTATTAATGTTTCCTTTCTTTTCAGTACATTACTTTGAGTGTGTTACGTATTAATATGCTGCAATAAACATGTTAACAACTTCAGAAATGTAGTTCGACCCTTCTTACAAAAAATGTGCTGTGTTGCACCCTTTCTAAATTTCTTTGCCTCAGAAGTGGCCGTTGCGGAAAGTTTTGACTGTCACTTGAAATTACCTTCGAATCTCCAGGATGTCTGCGCCTGATCTAAATTCTCCAGGTCTTCTCCTTACTTGTCGTTTAGTGCCATACCTCAAGTTTTCTTGTTCCATTTTATGGAAATCCAGTACATAGTCTTGCTCGGCAATTTTAAACTTATGGCAATATGTGGGGGATAAGAATGCCTCTTCTATGGGTCGCTGAAGATCATTCCCCTGAAAATATACAAAAATTTCCAATGAATTAATCTACTGCTTTCTGATTGTGTTTACTGCTTGTTTAACTGTTTTCATTTTTTTTTTCAAATGACTTGAACGAAATAACGTTTGCTTATTAACGCGTCCATGACTTAACAGTTTCCTAACATAACATGAGGCTTAAAAAGCATGGCTAATTACTACCTTTACTTGTTATTTCTTCTTTAAAACATGTTTGTAATAGTTATCCAGAAATGGTACCTCACAAAAAATCTTACCAGGTAGTCTGAACCATACGCAAGCCACATGCCATTTTCGTCCTTCCAGTACCAAGTCCACACAGCAGCCAAAGGATTAACGGGGTTATTGATGGAGGGTTCTGTGGACAGCCGCCTAATGTCTGCGACGACTTCAAAATCTGTCTGCACAAGCATCAGCTCATTTTCAAACAGGAACTGCACGGTATACTCTTCATCCAAGAGAGGGAATCCATGACTTAAAAAAATCGATTTTTAAGTTAACTACGATCTGTGTGCCAATTCAGTATCATGAAATTTTGGGTACATTATTTATCAAGTTAAATTCCTCATTGCGGGCTTCTTTTAATAAGGAATTTGCATCAAGAATAGAACACTTTCTGAAAGATGATCTAAACCAGATCATCAATCGTAATCTAAACTTGAGGGGCTTGTCTACAAAGGTCTTGTGAATAAATGAGGTTCAAAAAGAACCATACATATAAATTAATCATGAGAAATTATTACAACACAATTTACCAGAACAGATAGCAACGAATAAGGGAATATCGAGGTTTCAAAGAAGTGAGCTTGTAAACCCATAATTTTAGACTTGAGCTTGTATAAACAATTTATGTTTGCCTCTACAAAATACTCTGTATTCAAACACGACTCTCCTTGGCTTACCTTTTGAAAGACAGCTTGAAGCCAGTGGCTGAGCAATCATTCATCATTGCGTCACAGTAAAGTTTCTCCACCTTCTCATTGTCAGTCTCACTAAAATTCTTCCAGACTCCTTTATTCTCGACTCTGTATTGCCAGTGGTAAGGCAACGAGCAGTGGTGCTCAGAACACTTGATGCCCTTTTTACACTTTCCCAGAAGGAAATCTGAACAGATATATGCATCTGGTTGATCAGTGTGAACATGACCTGACGACGATAAAAACAGCAGTGTGACTGAGGGAGAAAGACACGTTTTTCGTTATCCTTGGAAAAAAAAGGATCACTTTTCATTTACCTCTATAGGGAGAGCAAACGAAATTGAGCATATTTAGGGACTGATAGTGCCACAGAATCATCGATTAATCCTAACAAAACACCTTTGTATTGTCCAATTATGACCAAAGACATTAGTTTTAAAACCCTAGTTTATAAAATAAAATAAAAATAAAATTAAAAAAAAAAGCTTCCCGAATAAAATCAAAGCAATTTTAATTTTGTACCTATACTTTATCACAAATATTGCTGGATACATGAGCACAATCTGAAACCAGTATGCTTTCTTAGTGAAACATACCTGCTTCTCTACTTTGTGCCAAGTCGTCAAAAAGCAAAATAGCCCTCTTTGCTGTGCCTGGTTTTAAGTGGTCCATACGATAACGCTCGAGAACTGCTTTGGTGTGGTCAGTGGTCATGGCGGATTCATGCTCTAAGATACAACCATGTCTTTCTCGGGAGCACTTTTTCAAGTGGTTGCCACACATGTGAATTCTAGGACAAGCATCGCCACGATCACAAATACCATCGTTGTACTCTACGCAAATCAGTGGTGACGAAAACAGCACAAGCCGGCGAAGTTGCTCGTCTGTGAACTTGTCGAGGTTGATCTTAGACAGCAAAGCCTTATCCTTCTCGTTGCGGAATTGATGGTTCCGTGGGCATGTTGCTCCGTTGGCGCAGGAGTCAGTGATATAATCTCTGCAGACGTGCAGGAATGAGCAGTTGTCTTTTGTACAAGTTCCATAGGGGGCGTTGTAACTGAAGCAGAGTCGAACCTTTGCGGAAAAGGCACTTACTTCTGTAATTGCCCCATCTGGGTTTTCTAAGATCAAAAAGCTCCCATTTCTTCTTCGAAACCAAGACTCCACGTCTTTGAATCCAGCGGGGAACAAATCAGTGCGTTTAGAAATCACTGAAAACGAAACTGAGCAGTTGTATTCTTTGCACAAGCACTCAAAGACTTTTCGTTCGGATGCTTCACTGTTGTTCACAACGGCACCTGTAAAAGGAATTGGACTACTATTCTGATCGCTCACTTTTGTGCCGCCAGCTGCTCCCTCTGACGTCCTCGAACCACTTGGCGTTGAAACAGTGCTGGGTGTTCTGGCTACAGAAACGGATGCAAGTGAATAAGGAATGGCACCACTCGGGTTTTTCTCTTTTCGGCTGCCCACTGCACTGCTCGACGATGTCAGACTAGCTGCTGTTAAAACAGTGTCTTTTAAAAGGGGTGTAGAGTCAACTGAAGATTTCCTCTCGCAGATGAGAAGGGTTCGCAAAATCGGTTGAACGTTGTCATCCCAGACTTTCAGGCCATATCTACTTAGCACAGTGTTTGCTTGAGCCGTCAACAATGCTTCTTCATGCTTGAGACTGCAAATGACTCGATCTGAACACTTCTTCTTTATCATATCCTTGCAAATATGCATTTGCCAACAACTCTCTCCGAGCACACAGTGTCCTTCATTATAGTCCAGACATACTTGGGGTATTGACAGCTGAACGAGTTTACGCAGCTGTTCTTCGCTAAACCCAGATAATTTAAGTTTAGAAATGTGCATTCTGCTTTCATCGTATTCAAAACTATGGTTTCTTTGGCATCTACCGCCAAATCTACAAAAACCAGCGATGTAATCTCGGCACACGTGTAGATAAGGGCAACCCACTTTGGAGCAATGATCCTGTTTAAAACATAACTTTGCTCGTTTACAAAGAACGTCCACTTTCAGTGTTCCGTCTTTACTTTCCCTAAGCAGAAAGCTTTCTTTCCTTGCTATAAACCACGCTGCAATATCTCCACATCGTTCAGGAAACAAGTCTTTTCTTTTCGAGATATCAAGAAAGGAGACAGTACCATTGTATTCTTTCAGAATGCAGTCAAAGACAGCCTTCTTAGAGGGTGTATTCTTTTGTGGATCCGGAACAGAGCTGCATGAACTTGATATGGATGACTTTCGCTTGCGTTCCGCTGGTTTTTCTTCAATTTGAGAGTTTCCAAGGCTTTGACTGGACTCAGAGGAACAATCATCAACACCCAGGACCCAATTCTTCACAAAATCGTTTCCGATATCATCAACGGGCAAAACAGGCGGGTCATCATCAACAACACCAGCTTTGGCTGCGCCATTTGAGGTACACGGATCCGCTTCAGGTTTCTTATTTGACACGAGTTTAGGATGACGAAATTTGACATCGTTACCAGCCTTTTCGTGACTTATTTTCGACTCTGGAATCTGATGAATCGATTCTTCTTGATTAGCAGAGAGGAAACTTTTAGAACAGGGTTTGTTGTCTTCTGAAGATGAGTCCGAGTGGCCCTCTTCTTCCTCTTCGTGTATATTTAGAAACCCGGGATTTTTCTGAGAGCTTGCTGAGGCATTTGCACAACTCGCCAAATTGTTGACGTATTTTGGTATACACTTCTGTTTTTGCTCTTTCTTTGCCTTCGAGTGACCGGGTTTCGGTTCATTCTTCTTCGAACTCGTCTCCATATCATCATTAAGAAACTCTTTGCATTTTGAGCTCACATGAAAACCTTTTGTTCGACTCGAGTTCGGCTCTTGGCTTGCCCCAAGCTGTGAGCTGTTTTCGTTATTTTTAAGTGAGGCCTTTTCAACGGTTGTATCATCACTTGTGAATTTACCTTTGCCAAAATACCTCTGCTCGTTCATGATTAAAATACTGCTACAAACAAAAGCAGGTTTCATCGACTGATGTGGCACAAGGTCATACTGCTTCAGTATTTTCTTGTTGTTAAGTTCAGTCAAATTATGCGATAACCTACAACTGCATGGCAATTGTCGCACTACATTCGGGCAAATATGAAGATATGGACATTTTTCCGATTTACATTCATCTCTCAAATACAACTGACAAACCTGTGGTAGACTCCAGGCAATGATGTTCCGTAGTGTGCCATTCGGGTGCTTCTTGATATTTAGGTCTTTGGTCTTCGCTTCGTTGTCGTTGTCGAGAAAATCGTGCGAACGACGGCAGTCTCCTTCGCACTTTCCCTCGATAAAGCTTTTACAAATGTGCCAGAATTTACACGAACCCTTCGCTCTCCTGCATGAACCCCGTGCAAGATATTGTTGACAAATTTTCTTTTTCAGCTCAACGCGAACACCTATGACTTCATCATTTATATCTTTCACCTCAACAAAGCGGCCACGGCCATGATTTATCAGCCAGTTCTTCGCTTCCAAGTTAGATTTTATGTTTTTCAAAGGCGATGAATCCTTCAAAAGTAGAGGTAACTCCACAAATCCGCCACTACCGCAAATAAAATTGAAAACTTTCTCAACCAAAACATCATCCGCCATATTGGCATTGAAATGAAAACTTCATGGAATCGAGGGCGAGAATTCCGAGAAAACGACAACACTTTCCTAACAGGACTAGGGTGGGGATACAACTTTCTTTCTTTTTTTCTTTCATCGTATTTTTGTTTTATTCGGGAGGGAAGGGAGATAACTTCGATTGTTTTACGGCTGAAAAAATATATAATGAAATAAAAAGGAAGAAATATCTACTCCAGGGAACTAAAACTTATTTTAAATTTATACCTTTTTTCCTGTCCTTGCGTCGCAAAATAACTCTTTTTACTATTTACAACACAGTTTTGGTTTCAAAATAAAAGACTGGCCCTAAGCCGCCCAAAAAATAATTTTCACTTTTTTCTTCCATCGATAGCGCAGAGTAATTCCCTATTTTTAGAAATAATCAGACTCAATTGAATTCAGATGACATTATCATATATTGTCATTCACAGTTTGTTTTGTCTAATACGCACGTGCCAAGTATTGTATTTGAAAGACGCGCACTGAATCTAATTTCAAAATGCAATTGTAGCTCACTTCTCTGTTCCACACTGTACATTTGAATGACAGGAGACAGAGCAAGACTGGTCACAAATAGTAACGACAAAAATCTGGTTAAAACATTTTTTTAGGGTCAGTTTAAATTTTGAACAGCATTCTTCGCTAGCCATCAAACATCCTAGTCATATGATCCTTCCAAAAGGAAAATAGCTCTTTTTACCGCTGACAGAGACCGAAAGTCGATGACAACTGCTTTCGGTGCACATTGCCCTCAGTCAGTCATTTCAATATTCCTTGTTTCAACGCTGCAAGCAGAAAAAATCCAAAGAAACCAAGAGAAAATATCATTCAAGATCTCAAGCAAATGAACAGTGAAAAACGTGAAGGAAAACATAAATAAACTTCCTGTTTCAAACATACGTCCGTGCCGTTATTTCTCTCTACTGGCACATTTTATTGAAACGAAACTGAATTGCGTGATTTTTCAGGAGAACGAGTCACCCTTGTGAAAAATCACACAATAGCCACTTCCGGCCTGTATTATTCTACTAGAAATTTCGAATTTTGAATTTTGACACAATTTAATGATACGAAACAGAAATTTTTAACCTCACCTCGTCAAAGATCACGCAATCGCCACTTCCGGCTTAGCGGTATTGAGCGAAATTCTTAGATATAAAATGTCTGGTATATACAACCACAACTCGAAAAGACACTGCGGAAGTATTGAACAGAATGGCTTGCGTGGCAAGGTTTCAAATGCAATTGAACAGGCCAAGAGGCTCTTTGATTCGTTGAGTACCATCATCTGGATCGAAGCAAGGAACATTTAAGTCAAGATGAATCGCTTGAGCCAACATTCTTCGGTTGGTAACGCAGCAGTTACGGTGATAAAAATTGCCGTCATACTGTTCATGATTATAGTGGCAGTCGAGACGATATTTCATTTACGATCTTATTTCTGTTTGTTATGTGGATATTTGAGTTCCCTCCTATGTTTTGCGTTTGTGGTAATAGTGAAAGGCGCAGATATGATTTTGATGAACTTGTAGGTTACTTCTAAGTATGTCTTCCATTGCATCTCGAAAATCTTTGTGGGGTCGATAACAGTTGCCATATATTGCTTAAAGCTCATCATGGTTTTCGCTTTAAATGGCGTGTTTACTTTTCTGCGTTACCTAATTATATCTTTCTTAGATTGGGCCTTAAATTTAAGAATCGACTGGAGAAGTTTTGGGCAACTGTGTTTTTTGTGCGGCATAATGAAAATGGTGATGCTTTGGGGCAAACATGCCACGAGGTTTATCTGTAGTAATGTCTACATAGGTGTGAAAGAGGCCAAGAGACACTTCGATTCCTTTTTTGCCGTATGCAATATCGAAACTTGGATCATAATGCGAAAAATGGATCGTTTGAGCGGACTTTGTAACGCAAAAATGATAGTGATATTAATTGTTGCCATTTTAATGACTTTTATTGTTACAAATGCGAGCGTCTTTCCTTCACGGCACTCTGTTCTGTCGGTGTTTACACTGATCTTCTTCATTTAACTGAGACATATATCTCGTTAGCGTCTGGAAGAATATGGTCCTTACTATGGACAATCTCCGCGTATACGTCTCAATGAACTTTGGGGCATTAACCAGTATTAAACTCTCGGATAATATCTGTGCTATAATGGAGAATGTCTGCTGGTTTATCTCGAAGGTCTTCGAGGCATTGAACAGTATCGTCCACAGTTTCTTAGAATGGATGGCTTTGCTCGCTTCATACGGCCTAACTGTTTTATGTTACCTGCTTGAATTGTTCTCAGTCGTTCTTTTTAGTGTCTGGAAAAGTATGATTGTTATTTTGGACAATCTCCGCATGTTCATCCCAAAACTCTTTGAGGCATTGAACAGTATCGCCCACAGATTCTTGGAATGGTTGGCTTTGCTCGCTTCATATTGCCTAAGTGTTTCATATTACCTGCTTGAGTTGTTTTCAGTCGTTCTTGTTAGCGTCTGGGAGAATATGGTTGATAATTTGGACAATCTCCGCATGTTTATCCTAAAGCTCTTCAAGGCATTGAACGGTATCGCTCATTGTTTCTTGGAATGGATGCATTTGCTCGCTTCATATTGCCTGAATGTTTCATGTTACCTGCTTGAATTGTTTTCAGTCGTCCGTGTCAGCGTCCAGGAGAGTATGTTTGTTATTTTGGACAATCTCCGCATGTTCATCCCAAAACTCTTTGAGGCATTGAACAGTATCGCCCACAGATTCTTGGAATGGTTGGCTTTGCTCGCTTCATATTGCCTAAGTGTTTCATATTACCTGCTTGAGTTGTTTTCAGTCGTTCTTGTTAGCGTCCGGGAGAATTTGGTTGTTATTTTGGACAATCTCCGCATGTTTATCCTAAAGCTCTTCGAGGCATTGCATGGTATCGCTCACAGTTTCTTGGAATGGATGGCTTTGCTCGCTTCACATGGCCTGAATGTTTCGTATTACCTGCTTGAGTTGTTTTCAGTCGTTCTTGTCTGCGTCCGGGAGAGTATGTTTGTTATTTTGGACAATCTCCACATGTTCATCCTAAAGTTTTTTGAGGCATTGAACAGTTTTGCCCACGGCTGCTTGGAATATATCGCTGTGTCCTCTTCATATTGCCTTACTTTTTCATCTTACCTAGCTGAATTGTTCTCAGCCGTTCTCGTCAGGGTTTGGGAGAATATGGTTGTTATTATGGACAATCTCCGCATGTTCGTCTCGATATTCTTTGATACACTGATTAGCATAAGATATTGGGAGAATAGTTGTGCAATTTGGAGAATCTTCGATGGTTAATCTCGGAGATCTTTGAGGCATCGAACAGGTTTGCCCACGGTTGCTCAGAATGAATTGTTCTGCTAGTTTCCTATTGCTCTATTTCTTTATGTTACCTACTTGAATGGTTTTCAGTCGTTCTCGTCAGCATTTGGGAGAATACGACGGCATTAATTAACAACATGCGCATGTTCATGTCAATAATCTTTGAGGTATTGACCAGCATAAGCTACTGGGAGAATCTCTGCTTGTTCATCTTGAAGATCTCTGCGGCATTGACCAGTGTTACCCATGGTTGCTTAGGATGGATCAATTTGCTCGCTCCATGTGTCCAAACTGTTCCGTCTTACCTGCCTAAATCGTTCTCAAATGGTGCCATCAACTTAACGAATTACTGGGGAAGCTTTTCGCTCTTGGGCGTGTTGTGCGGGGCCGTGATAATTTGGCGGTGTTGCTTCAGGGCTGTACTCCGTAAGGAATCGTTAGGGGGTAAGTGATTGAGGACTGATTGTCGACTGGTACTGTAAGACTTGCTGACTTTCCGACCGATTTGCCGAATTACTTACTGACTATCTGGTGGACTGACAGACCGACCTTGTGACTGAGAAATTGACGGCTGTCTAAAAGGCCAAAAAAAGTCTGTCTGATTGACTTAGTGCTCGACTGACCGAGTGACTGAATAGCTGACTGAGTGATTAATTGGTTTGTCTCTTTAGAAGCAGGCCACATTCACGAGGAAAGCCCAGCTGTGCCCATTTGCCTAAAATTTCTCCTCAGAAAATGCTCGGAAGGCACAGAATGCCCAGAGCATCATTGTTTTCTGCCTTATCATTGGCAATATAATGTATCCAGTGGAGTTGAATGGAAAAGCTTCAGTGAGAAAGACAACTTAGCGTTGGAAAAGCTGTACTGTGACGTGAACGTAGAGGGACCAGTTAAATTGAACCTAGCCCAAGCAATTGCAAGGTAGGTTCTTTTTCTAATGTGATCCTCCTTGGGCCGTAACACGTATGCGTAAATGAAATAGGGTATTGTATTGTAAGTAACGTGCGTGAATAGAGGTAAGTGAAATATCCGAAGGTTAAAACCACAAGTAATGTATCATATATAAGTGGTGAGGGGCAAATAAAAATTCTGGATTATAACGCGCACGTAGTATTTGGTAATTGTGATTGGTCACTTTGACGAGTTAGTTACATAATGTTACAATACTGGGGGCGGGGATCCAGGGGAAGTCGGTACGTAGCTCCCCTCCCTCCAACCCCCTCCTCTCTCACCAGAAACCAAAGTTTTCCCAATGTGGGAGTGCATGGTGAAGTGCAGCAGTGTGTTAATCCAATAGAAAATTCTCACAGCTTTGCGTTTTGTGGAGACTTATACTGCAAATGAGTGCCACAGCTTACACTCCTACTTCCCTGAACAGGTGTAAAGTATTCTGGTAATACCAGAATAATTGATTTTCCCCCTTTATGATAATTCGTAATGATGGAAAGACTCTGCCACCATGGGAATGTGAAGTCTCAATCGACGTCAACAGCATGACCTTGTCAATAAAACCAACGGCAGGAATTTGCGCTGCAGGCTATGGCTCTGGAAAATTAAGGCGCTTTGCCACTCCACCTTGCTCCACAAACCCAAGTCACCCTCTCTCCACCAACTGGAAATGGTACTGGGAAGATAATGGCGGCGTTTGGTGTATGTACGAGAAGGACCCTTTGGTAAACTGTACTTTTATAGTGTATCTTTAGACTGTGTTTGAAATCTTAGAGAGCCCAGAACATTCATATGTCAGGTTTTATATTGTTTCCTTTCATCGTCCTCCTCATCGCTAGACATTACTTTCTAATTTCACTTCGTATTTTACAAGCTATCGTAATCGCAAAACTCTTCTCAAAAGATACAAAGTATTTGGTATTTCTCCCTTATGAATTATCTCTCAAATGTATCTGAAGTTTAAATCATAATTCCTGTAAAACCGATTAAAGATAAATTCGAGTAGTATTGCATGATGGCTGCCTGTTTGAGCACTTTGAAAAACTCTATTAAAAATATTGCATTATGGCACCCACTATAATTCTATAAAATCAACAAATGAGATGTCATTTCCTTAAGAGAACTAGCTACATCTTACTCGACAGTGTTAGTCGATCCGCATTAATATCGACTCACATTTTGTTTTTAAGGGAAGAAATCTACAAGAACTGATAGAGCAAGCTTTCGTTAAAGGGCTGAAGCGAAATGAGACAGACTATACGTTCAATTTCAAAGTCAAAGCTCATGAGTACTACTTGGTCTTTCATTCAGCGAAAGGCATGCACCAAATAAACATGCAGTACGGTACCAAAAGAAAGGTAAAACGAAGACCAGAAAGACTTATATCACCTGAAGAAATGACCGTCTTTAAAAGGTAAGATGTCTTGTTCACAGATTATAATGATTGAAATGATAAAGCAAAATATACGAGATTTCGTGTTACCGTACTCAGCAACTGTAATGCAGATTATGTAGTAGCTCATACCTACCAAGCGGGAGAATTGGACGGAAAAATGATTGGCGCGAAGTCACGACTTACGGACCAAGTACCATGAACAGCAACAAAGAAAAGTATTCTACAGTGAAAATTGTTCCTTTGGTTCTTCGAGTGTGGACAAGAACTCGCAATTCATCAAAAACCACGGCTTCCTCTCTCATTTCCTTTCTTTTATGTTCACATCCAGAAAATTAGTTTTCTCATTTGGATGCCAAAGAACCGTGCGGCTGCGGGCCGGTCTTCTTTTTCCGAACCGAAAGCGCGTCAGCTTTTATTGAGGTTTTTTCAAGGATTGAGCGTGCGGCTCCGTAAGAGTTATATTTTGAGAAATATTATCATATAAGCCGTATGGCTCTGTTTGCACTTATATTTAAAAACGGTAAACAAAAATATTCTATGTGGATCGTGTGGGATGACACGAGTTGGCCGGTAAAAGCAAAATGGCCCCGCAGGAAACCAGCGAAAAGAAGAGTGAAAGAAAAAAAAAGAGGCACTGTCAAATGGTAAATGCTCCTTGACTGCATTAGCATGGGCCAGAAGGCAAAACACCATGTGCTCGATCACAATGCACGGACTTGGCTGCGTTCATGTGTAGGTGATGACCTTAACCTTGTCAGAGCAAATATTTTCCCTGTTCGGCATTTAAATTTAGCTACTAAATACAAACGATATATCTTCATCGTTTTTTCATGAACGGGGACATTGATTGTATATCAAGAAGTCAAGTTAGGTATTTTTTCGAGGAAGCAACAGCGGGAGCATCTCTGGTACGGAATAAATGGGCTGCGGTCGCTTTTTTTTTTTTCTTGTTTTTGTTTGTTGTTGTTGTTGCTGTTTTTTTTACAGTCAATTTCTTTGATTTTCACATTGGTTAGGGTTCCCTCCGAGGAGTCTGTATTGATGAAAGAGCCCGAAAAAAGAGCGGTCGAGTCCCCTGTTCCAAGCCACTGGTCCTAAACGCCAGCCAGTGAGCCATATACACGAGTGACGTTAGACTCATCTTCATGGGAATTCAAAAAGGTGGAACAACTGTTCATAGCGTCGATGAGTAATATGGTGATCAAGAAAATCGACCGCGTCCAGAATCCCTTCATGTGGGAAAAATACCGAAGGTAGGGAAAAATCTGAGCTCAAAAAAAAAAATAAAAAAAATAAAAACTCTCTGCAAGAATTCATGATGGTCTAAAGAAGAAAGGTGGTGAAAATAAATTATTCCCCCCCCCCCTATTTTTCTCAAATAACAAACAATAATTTCCCAGAAGAATTTCTGAATTTTTTGATGTAAAACTGTAAAACGAAGGCTGATCATCGACGGTGTCGTCTACCCTTCCTATATTTCTTTACAGCGTGCAGCACGAAACGTTTGAGACCAGGCTCTGTTATCAACAAGCCTATCAAATTTGTCTTTTCTTTAGTATCGAAAACAATTAAGATTTGAAAGTTGAAGAACATCATCCAAGAAATGTCATTAGATGTTCCTCAGTTTTAACTGGATGAATCAATGGCTATTTTTTAGAGTAAACGATTGATTATTATTGCCCACAAATTATGTAGAGACGTGATAACAGGGATAACCTGTATTGAATGAGAAGCCATTTTGTAAACTTGTGACGCAGATGAAGTAAATTATCATATCTTTCTTTGCAGGAAAAAAGACTACATGACACAACTAGCAAACGGTGATCAACAGAGAGTCAATGAGAAACGACTCTTCCATGGAACCAGTCCAGATTCCGTAGAGGCTATCTGTAAAGAGAACTTTGATTGGCGTTTAAGCTGCACTGCGACCGGTACTAAGTATGGTCAAGGAAGCTACTTTGCAGTGAAAGCATCCTACAGCCACAACTACGCAAGAGAAGATGCCAATAAGTCTCGGTTTATGTTCGTGGCCAAAGTCCTCGTGGGTTCGTATGTAAAGGGAAACCCCAGCTATCGAAGACCGCCCCACAAGCTACCTCTGAATGGAGGTGATACCCTTTATTACGACTCCTGTGTGGATGACGTGTTGCAGCCAAATATGTTTATTGTCTTTGACATCGACCAGTTATACCCAGAATATATCATTCATTACTAAACTGGTAGGTTGCGTTTTAAAAGATTCAATTCACGGAGAGCAATAACTTCCAATCCGAAACCTTGCTTCTATACCACTCAATTTACGATGGGCTCGATACACTTTGCTGAGACTTCACTCGATTGCAAAAACATTGACCCACAAAAGTCATGTTCAATCCTTTACTTTCTTTTTACTCTTTACTTTTTCATTGTTCATGAAAATCTTTGTTTACATCAATTCTATTCTTTCAGAAAAGCGTGGATGGCTTCTATCATTCACCGCAAGCAACTTATTGTGGTTATGTAAATATGTATTCACAAAACTGTGCGGTTGTGAAAAGATGCGTGGTTTGATAAAAACTTTAACGCGTAAAAGGCTACTCATCTTTAGCTTACAGGACATGATTGATGTCAAATGCAACTGACATGGCCTTCCACTGACTGCTGTGGGATTCTTAATAGGAAGAAAACTCCCCCATAAAAGCTGAAATTTTTATTTTCAAACGACAAAGATAAGACTGAAATGGAAGTGCTTTTACAGTCGTACGACACTGTATTGCAACTGACAGTAAAAAGCGGTTATTTTGTTTGTTCGTTGCTCTGTGGACTAATTTTCAAAGGGATTTTCATTATCTTATGTGCAAGAAGTAATTATTACTTTAGTATAAAAATAAACACGTAAAAAATAGCGATATGAACCGACGTTTCGGAGTCTGCGAGACGCTATTGTCAAGGTGAATGTTAGGATAATGAATTCTACGAGTATTAATAACTGCAATAAATTTACACGATAAAGAACGCGGGACTGGAATACAGAAATACTATAATACGGATTGAGTCGGATTGCGCGATCAGAGTTGGTTTTAGGTCTCTGAGGAATAATATCTCGTGTACTCAGCAATCGAACTTACTTTTGCATTTCTTTAAACCATCGAAACGCCTCAGTAGGTCTACAGGGACCTTGGCTTGTTTGTATTGGTAGCGTTTAGGTATAGAAGATGACCGTTTTTCACGTCCTAACTTTTACCTTGACAGTGGCGTCATGAAGACTCCGAAACGTCGGTTCATATCGCTATTTTTTACGTGTTTATTTATAACTAAATCTTTATTGATATTAGTATAAAAATCACTCTGATTACGTGAGTACTCCCAAATACAAAGTAATTCTCGGGACTATACTCGAGCAAACATAAAGATGTGGACATTTATCTGAAATACAATCGTTTTCCAAAAACAACTGACCACAATGCTCAATTCGGCTGTTTCTTGATTTTTAGATTTTTCGTATTCTTCCCTTGAATTTTAGATGTAATAAACATAGTGTAGGTTACTGCAATGGCGTTTTCATGGCAGTCTCCCTTGGTATAGCTTTCACAGGCACTGACTTGCCTCGAGCAACTTTTTATAATTCTTCTTCTTCGGTCCAATGGGAATGCCTGCGACTTCCTCATTGATATCTTTCACCGCAACGAAGCGGCCGCAAGCGTGATTTATCAGCCAGTTCTGTTCTTCCAATTCGATTTTGATGAGATGAAGCCGTCAAAAGTAAAGAGACTTAAAACGAATGCCATTGAAAACTCACTCGACCAAGAAATCGTTGTCACGTTTTGAAACTGAACACTTTATAGAAATCAGAGCCAGAATTCCGAGAAAACAACAATTTTCTCCTTACACGAGTGGGGTGAAGGAAATGGCTTGTTTCTGCAGTTTTAACCTAACAGCTTGTCTGCTTAGTGAAATAATTTTTCACAAAAACGGTTGGCTAGGCTACATAGTGTTGGAAAGCGTATCACAAAATTAACAAAAAATTAATTGAGAAGATATGCTTCTTAGTCTCTAACCCTAAACCTAAGCCATACCACTGCGTTGAAGATAGAGCGTGTGCAGTGTTCAACACTGCTACGAGCGTGATTTATCAGTCAGTTCTGCTCTTCCAATTTGATTTAGTCGAGATGAAGCCGTCGATTAAAGAGGGCTCAAGAAAATGCCTCTATTACAGAAAAGATAGAAAACAATCTCGAAATCGTTCGTCGCGTTTTGAAACTAAACATTTAATGGAAATGAGGGCTAGGATTCCGGGAAAACGACAATGTTCCCAATTCCAAGATGGAGCCGAAGACAAAAGAATTTTATTCATACAACAAGTGGTCTGCATGATGAATTAATTTTCAAGAATGAGCTCAATGAATCTAAATAAAAACGTTTAGGTTAGGCTTTATCCTTCACTAACACAGCGTTGGATAGCGTATTAAAGCGTATTAGATTTGCTTCGTTCAGAGTCATAAGTAACTTTAATTAATTAATTGACGAGTTCCGGTATTATTTCGGAAAGTCGATATCAATTGGTCTGCCGTTGACATATTGATTTATTTACATCTGAGTGAGTGACAAATTTGCATATTCTGACCCCTAACAAGAATCGTTTCTACGCTTCGTTTCTTCAGCTAACACATCGAGACACATCTCGTTAGAGTCTGCGGCGACGATATATCATGTGTTCGCCGTCAGCCAATCAGATGTCGGTCGCACCATGTGCTTTTAGGTTCAGCGCCAAGTAGGTTACAAAGTTCATTTGTAGACGTTTCTTAAGCGGTAAATAAACAAGGTTTGCATCGCGATTAAAACGGAATCTTCTCATGATCTATACATCTACAAGAATATGGCTGTTATTATGGACAATCTCCGCGTGTTCGTCTCGATAATCTTTGAGGCATTGACCGACAATCTTCGAAGCATTGACCAGTTTTAAACTCAAGGAGAATATTCGTGCTACCATGGAGAATCTCAGCTGGTTTATCTTGGAGCTCTATAAGGTATTGAACAGTATCGCCCACAGTTCCTTCCAATGGATGGCTTCGCTCGCTTCATATTCTCTGAATATTTCATGTTACCTGCTGAAATTGTTTTCAGCCGTTCTTTTTAGAGTCTGTGAGAATATGGTGGTTATTTTGGACAATCTCCACAAGTTCATCCCAAAGCTCTTTGCGGCATTGAACAGTATCGCCCACAGTTTCTTCCAATGGATGGCTTTGCTCGCTTCATATTGCCTGAATGTTTCATATTACCTGCTTGAATTGTTTCCGGTCGTTCTTGATGGCGCCCGGAAGAACATGTTTGTTATTTTGGACAATCTCCGCACGTTCATCCCAAAGCTCTTTGAGGCATTGAACTGTATCACCCACAGTTTCATGGAATGGATGGCTTTGCTCGCTTCATATTGCCTTAATGTTTCATATTACCCGCTTGAATTGTTCTCAGCCGTTCTCGTCAGGGTTTGGGAGAATGTGGTTGTTATTTTGGACAATCTCTGCGTGTTCATCCCAAAGCTATTCGAGGTATTGAACAATAACGCCCACAGATTATCGGAATGGTTGGCTTTGCTCGCTCCATATTGCCTTAATTTTTCATGTTACCTGCTTGAACTGCTCTCAGCTTATCTCGCCAGGGTCTGGGAGAATGTGGTTGTTATTATGGACAATCTTCGCATATTCATCTCGATGATCTTTGATACATTGATTAGCATAAGATACTGGCAGAATAGTTGCGCTATCTTGGAGAATCTCCGATGGTTAATCTCGGAGATTTTTGAGGCATCGAACAGATTTGGCCAGGGTTGCTTGGAATGGATTCCTCTGCCAGTTTCATATTGCTTTATTTTTCTATGTTACCTAATAAAATGGTTCTCAGTCGTTCTCGTTAGCTTCTGGGAGAATATGGTGGCACTTATTAACAACATGCGCATTTTCGTGTCAATAATCTTTGAGGTATTGACCAGCAATGGTGCCATCAACTTAGCGAATTACCTGGAAAACTATTTATTCATAGGCGTCTTCTCTATGGTCCTGATAATTTGGTTGTGTTACTTGACTCGTTAGGGGGGTAAGTGAGGGAGTAATTGTCAATAGATAATGAAGGACTATAGACTTTCCGATCGATCTGCCGACTTACTTACTGACTACTTGGTGGACTGAGAAACTGACGGCTGGCTAAAAGGCCGAAAAAGTCTGTCTGAATGACTTTATGTCCCACTGACTAACTGACCGAGTGACAGAATAACCGACCGAGTGATTGATTGGTTTTTCTCTTTAGAAGCAGCTTGTATAACACCGTAGTTTATATGATAATATATTTTAACACCCTAAAGCGTATATAATTATCCATATATAAAAGTAGACGTTTTAATAGTTAGACCTTTTAATATTTGAATTAGATTTTTTAATAATAATATTCAATTCTTATATTGTAAATAGATAGATCCTACATTTTACCGAATCAATTGATTTTTGAAAAACCCACTCGGGAAAATCAATTGCAATAAAGTTATTGTTTTGCAATTATGGTAACTGTCTCTATGAATCGTTTTAAAGTTCAAGGCAAGCAGTTATAAAAGTTTGCGTACGAATGTTCTTTTGAAATCACCAGACCAACTTGCATTTCAAACTTTTCCCAAATAACTACAGGAAGAGTTTCTAGGACTGAAACAAGACCTACACAATCATGAAATTTTCCCGTTTACACTCTTTTGAGCCCATAGTTTACTTTCTTTAGGTCTCTAAGCTGATTTGTTAGAACTTTAACGCGTGACAATTCATCCCTTCACGCTGAACCTTACTAACATTTCAGTCCCTTTATAAGTAATTTTGAATTACTGAATATAGTTTTACCTGCTGTAAATTACGATTCTCTCTTCGTTAATTCCATTCAGGCAGTGTTAGCTAACTAATTACAGATATACAAGCATCAGAATCTGATCATTTGGAGGTTGTCTTTCAGTAAATCGATTTGTAAACCAATAGTGCCTATATATGGTACTTTACTGGAACTTTGCTCCGCGAAATCATTTTCACAGGTGATAGAAAAACCAGAACACAAGAAGACGAAGAGAGCGCCAGGAAAAGAAGAGCAGAAAGTGATGTACAATGTTAGAAATGGGCTAAAGTATTATACCAAATTCAACTGGACTATGGTGAATTACGGTAATAGTTCCTGTATTGTAAACATACGATTGCTTAATTTGATTTTCCTTTTTAAGCTTAAGAATTGCTTTAAACGAAGTCACAGATACTGAGGAGTAACAGTTCCTGTTATTTATTTTCAAATCCCTTCAAATGAAGTAAAATTTTCATATTACCCTTCACAAACTGCAGCTTCATCCCTTCTCGGCGATAGTGAGTCTACACCATACCTCTGGCAGTTCAAAGAAGCAGATTCCTCTACTTGGAAAAATTTCGGCCGCTCTGACAATGAAGAACGCGACAACAAGTTTCCTATACTGTGGGTTTGGTATTGGGAAGACATCGATGGATGGAAAAATAACCTGAAACGAATGTAAGTAGTAGTAACTGTTACGCAAAAATATGGTCAAGCAAGGGCCCGGCCGAGTATGTTTCTTCCGTTATTTGCTTTAACTGTTTATTTTGTACCGCAGTGAAATTGCACGGCCTCAAATTTTGTTTACTTTAATGATATATATTCTCTTACCTTCAATAAGGCAAAGGAAAAGACTTTCATTCGAAAAATAAAAGTTTGACGAACAAGATAAAATAAGCATTGCACATGACAGCTTAAGATGAAAATAAAAAGGGAGGAGAATCCTCGGG